TATATGTATATACGTATATATACATATATATATATATATATATATATATATATATATATATATACATATATATATATATATATATATATATATATATATATATATATATATATATATATATATATATATATATATATATATATATATATATATATATATATATATATATATATATATATATATATATATATATATATATATATGAGGTGTGTTCAAAAATTAAGGTGACTTTGTATTTTTAAGATAAAATATTTATTTATTTATCAATATTTATTTTGTCCCCCTCAAATTAATCCCCTCAGATACAATACACTTATGGCAACAGTTTCTCCAATCCTCAAAGCACTTCTCATAAGCACTTTTCGGTATAGCCTTGAGCTCTTCCAGCAATGCAGTCTTTATCTCTTCAATCGTTGCAAATCTCTGTCCTTTCATAGGTCTCTTTAGTTTTGGGAACAAGAAAAAGTCACATGAGGCCAAATCCGGTGAATATGGTGGCTGAGGCATAATTGTGGTGTTGTTTTTGGCCAAAAAATCTCTCACAAGCAAAGATGAGTGAGCAGGGGCATTTTTCTTCGTATTGCTTCTTGCAAACGGCGCATAACTTCAAGATAATACTGTTTATTGTCCGTAGAACCTTATGGTAAGAATTCCTGATGCACCACGCCATGGTAATCGAAAAAAACAGTGAGCAAAACTTTGACATTTGATCGAACTTGGCGTGCTTTTTTTGGTCTTGGCTAACCTGGGCTCTTCCATTGGGATGATTGGGCTTTGGTTTTGATATCATAACCATATATCCATGATTCGGCACTAGTTATGACCCTTTTGAGTAAATCTGGGTTGTCGTTTCAAAAATCATTCAACAGTTCTTGAGCGATGCTCATGCAACAGTTCATTTGGTCAAAATTGAGCGATTTCGGAACAAACTTCGCTGACACACGCCTCATACCCAAAACGTTAGAAAAAATTTCATGGCACAAGCCAAGAGATATAGCAACATCATCAGCAACTTCTCTAATAGTGATTCAAGGATTTTCCAAAACAATTTTCTTCACTGCTTGAACGTTTTCATCAGTTGTTGACGTGGTTGGGCATCCAGAGCAAGGCTCGTCATTGGCATCAGTTTTACCGTATGCCACTGTCAACATCTCAAGTGTTTTGGAGCACTTTATTTTATTTTTTACACAAAATTTGATGCTTTGATTGAATAAGTTAACAAAATGTTTGAAATTGGCAGATGTGTAAATGATTTGCACCTTACTTTTTACTGAATATTTTATTTATAAGTGTTCTGAGAACAAGAGCATCAGTCATAAGAGCATGGAGGTCATAAAATCCAAATAAGTTAAGCGCTTAAGCTTAATTCACATTTGTCAGTTATTTGGCCAAAAATATTTCTACTTTTTTTGTACATAAAATTAAGAAAGACATAGCTTTCACACATACAAAGTCTAAACAATATTAAATCGGAACAATCGTCAAGTTAAAATGATTAAAACATGCACCTCAAATTTGATGGTTGAGTTTTGAACGGATATAAAGAACCCATTTAAACTAATGATAAAACAAACGTAAAAGCTGGCTTCAAATAATTACTGCACTTACAATTTTATTGTACAAATACGAAAGGATTAACTAAAAAAATTTAAGTATAAATGCTTCAACAAACTTGCCAAAAATATCATATAACAAATTATTTGAACTTGTGGCCGGTACAAACAAATATGTGTTAAAAATGGCATTATTAACAAAGAAATTTATGTTAAAGAAAGCCTTGAATTGCGTTTACTGTCATTATAAAAAACTCACAATATTCATCTGTTGTTTTGATTAAATCTAGCCTGATGTAACTATGCCAAATCTAGTCTGATGTAACTATGCCAAATCTAGCCTGATGTAACTGTGCCAAATTTAGTCTGATGACACTGACAAAAATATGATAGAGCGTATAACGAATTGTGCAAAACAGTATCCTTGATTATTTTTTTATTTGTTTCTACAATATAAAAACATCATTCGTTAATGTAAAAGTTATTTAAAAATTTGCATTTTTAAAATTTAAACACACTTCCTTAATTTTAGTCTCATGTACCTAAAAAAATTAATAACGAATTCAATGTGACTATGCAAGTTTATTTATACTGTGAAGTTCTCCGCATCTCAATTATACTTTTGATTTTGAATTGAATTTATACCTTATTTGAGTTCTAGGCTGCAAAAGAATGAAAACGTTTTAAATATTTTTACTCAACGTTGTTACTGATTTGGTCATACAACAGGGGACCCATTCACTCATTCTGACTGAAATTTTGCTTTCAATTTGAATTAATAACTCAACTTTTTAAAGGGATCCCAAACTCCCAACACATGTTGTGTTCATATTAAAGATAATGTTAAAAAAAAAGGTTTGAACCAAGTTTTTTTGATTAAAAATAAATTATGAATGTATACCGAGAAAAACTAACGTTGTTGTTTTAGCTGAAGCTCGCCTTCTTAATTTTTTCTAATAATTAGGAGTTTTAGTATTTGACGTCAGGGTAGACTTTTAACAAATGAAACTCTGGAAATATTTTTATTCAAAATTTTTTTGATTATTTATTCAGTTTTTTTTTTTTTTTTTTTTTTTTTAACATTTAAAAAAATATTAAAAACCTCAAATATTTTATGCTGGTTCATTGGTATAAATTGTTATTGCGCCATATATTTAATGTTTATAAATTATGAATATATATTATCTCAATCAAGACTATGATAAAAAATTGTTTTACATTAATTACCTTTATAAAATTAGTAACAGCATTTTTATTTGGTCAGACAATATTTCGTCTCAATTTGCTTTGCATGAAGTTCGGGAAGTCAAGCGAAAAAAATTAGTTTAAATAATCACTTTGAAATATATTTAAAACAAATGACGGGGGTTTGAATGTTTTATATATCAAATGTAGGTAAAAAATAATAAATAAATATAAAGTTCAACATTAAACATCATTTCCTTATTATATTGCAACTGTAAATATTGAAATACTAACTTGAACTAAATTTACTTATTATTTAGAATGACTAAGCAATAAAAGCAATAAATTCACTAAAATTATGCTATATTGTGTTGTTTATTTGATAATTGTTGTTGGTAATGTTGTTTATGTTGATTATTTTCATTAATACCAAAATAGTCCCAGATTAATTAGTTAGTTGCTTTGTTCATTGTTGATTTATTTCTAATTTAATTTTATCTCTAAGTATAAATTTATGTTAAGAAAGAAAAGTTTTTATTTCATCGCTCGCTCTTTTTATAAAAGAGTAGAACAAAAGAGAAAGAAAAGTTGCGCGTAAATTAAACTTCGAATGAATAAGAGTTGTATAGAACTTTTTTTTTTTAGCATCACTCGTTCTTTTTTTAGATAAGAGAATAAAAGTTTAATAGTAACTTTTCTTTGAATAAATGAGAATTGGAAGTGAAAATTGCTTGAAAATTTGTATTTGTTGTGTTTTAAATTTTTAAAATTTTTCATGTTAAGAGACAAATGCCAAATACGACACAAATTGGGAAATACCAAATATAATATGTTTTTTAATGCGCGTTATGACATTTTGACAATTTAAGTTACCATTTATCTTGAATTATATAATAATAATTTGTCCGTATTTTTGTTAAATATTAGTTGTATAAAATGGGCAAAAATATACAAACTTCATGTTTTTTATTTAATGGTTATAAAATATTGAACAGTTAACTTATAATCAAATTTTATAATGCGGACTTGTGTTGCTATTAATTGTACATTTAATGCAAAACCAGGATCTTACATATCCTTTCACGAATTTTCATATCTGATACTACTGTCAACTGTATCGTTTAGTGTATTATTGTACTTTTTTTCATAACTTTAACAGGTTCTAATTGTTATGGAGTTGCCGACATTTTAAAAGTTCCATTATCAAAAATCAAATGTAAAATAAAATGATATTTCCTTTTTATCCTTATCCAAATCAGCAAATTTAGCAATTTAAAACAAATCAGCGTAATCTAAAAATTTTTATGAAAAAAAAAGTTAACAATTCATCAAATATCTCTAACTAATACTTTCAGTTTATGAAATTAATTGTTAATAAATACTTTTTTTTGACGGGAAAACAAAAAATATCATAGCGTAAAAATAACCAGAGAAGTTAGAAAAAAGTTCCAATTGTTTAAATAAAAATAAGTAAGATTCAGAATATATAATACTGCACTCTCTTGCACAAAAACGAGAGACCGTATACATAACGTTCTATATAATGTAAAACACTCGTATAAAAATCACAAGATTGGTAAGTAAAGCTTTAATATTTGTTTTAATTTAAAAACAAAAGAATTATAAGTAAGATATATAAATCTAAAAATTATTAAATTTGTTGTAAAAGTTGTTTTGCTGTATGTTAAAAGATTACTACATCGTACTTTTTGAATTAAAGTAGCTTTGCTTAATTACACTTTTTTTTTGTTAAAAGTCTACCGTGACGTCAAATACTAAAACTTTTATGCATTAAACGCGCTTCAAAGGAATCGCCAAAGTCTGTAGATTGCGACGTATAATTTAAAGACTCTGAATTATTGAAAAAAATGGAGAAGGTGAGCTTCGGCTAAAACAACAACATTTTGTTGGTCTTCAGCCTACAGAAGATGATTGGCTTTTTGATTATTGAGCGGTGGCTGCTTTCTTGATTCTTAAGAATATAAAACTGATTGGATAAGAAAATAAAACTTATTGGATAAAAAAATAGTTGACACAACTGTCAATAACAATAAAACTATTTTGCTCAAATAATCTTGCCTTGAAGCTACTTGTTTATCCTTTTTTTTTTTTTTGCACTAAATCAATTTAAATTGTGTAACAGTTGTTAATACAAACAATTTTTCAACCGTAATTTTAGATTTGATTTCAGTCCTATATGAAATTTTGTTGTGAAGATATTAAGTGCATACTTAATGTAACCTACTTTCTTGACAATCTCTGAGAAAATGCATTAAATTTAAGAAGGACTTGAACTTAATCTCTTTATTGGGGATTTAAACAGTGGTTTATAAGTTAAGTGGCCCATTAAGGTGTTCATTACATATATATACATTTTTATTTACATATATACAGTATATTACATATATACAGTATATATACATTTTTCAAAAGACCAATAAGTATCGCACAAAGTATATTTAAGCTGTTTGGTATACAAATACTTTGCCACAGTAATTGAAAATTCACAAGTAAGATTAAAAATTTTTAAAATGGAAACCAAATTATAACACTACATGCATATTTGTAAAAAAGCCCAAATATTGAAAAAAAGTTAAACTGATTGAAATTACATTTTTTTTAGTAATTTTTATGTGTAACTAATGACAAAACATACATTACTTTTTGTTACTTGCATCTACCAAAACTCACACATTTTGAACTAAGAAAACAACTGCAGTTTAAAAGTACTTTTAAAATAACTACAGCTAATTACAAATATGCAGATTTAAATCCTAAACACCCAAAAAACTTATTTAAAACAACTAATAACAGCTTATATTATATAACTTAACTTGCAAGCTGACTACTAGCTATTTTTTTTTTTTTTTTAATTTCAGCTAGCTTTTTTTTCCTAGTAACTCCCAACTTAATAGTGGTTGCTTGCAGCCTTGTTAGGAGTGAATGCAAATAAAAAAAAAAAAAGCTAACAAACTGACTTTGCTAACAGCCTATTTTTTAAAATCAGCACTAAAGTCAAAACATGTTAACAACTGTAATGTTTACTGAAAAGGAAGTACAAACTTTTTAAAAAATTCTAAACATTAGGGAACTGAAAATTCTTTATTAAGTAAAAAATACTAGTAAAACTTACTTTATATGATGCACTTAAACGCAATCTGTTTTCATTTGTTATGCTCGGAATCAGAGAAGCTGTTTCAGTAAAGTGTTTAAGTTTAGACAAAAACTTTTTCACGCTCATACCCCTTGAATCAATATTATGTGCCATCCTTTCTTTCTCGCTCTCAATAAGTCTCTTACCAATTGCTTCAAAATCAGCATCCAATTTTTTAGTACGAGTCATATGAGCTAAAAGTTTATAAAAATACAAAATAACCTCAGGAAATATAATTTATTAAACTTAATAATTTTAAAATCATTTATTTTTAAAAATTTGTTCTATTTGATGTAATAATTTAGTTTAACAACAATTATTCATTAAAAACATTCAAAAAAAACAACATAATAAAATAAAAAATACAAAAATAACATAAACATGTTACCATGAGTGAGGCTATGTGCTAAGAAAACTAGTTTATCACGTTGTCTTTCATTACATTTTGCTTGCTTACCTATAAGATGTAAAACTTTAATAACATTTAGTTCTTTTATAATTAATATTAAAAAACAAAAACATTGAATTAAATGTTTTATGCAAAGATAAGTTGGACACACATTTTTCGATTGCTGTTTTCTCCAAACTATTGTACTTGTGGCTAGCTTCTAAACATTGTTTTTTATGCAGTTGTTTCTGATTGTCAAGAAAAGCCATCATTTCATTTAATTCATCAGATATTTTCTCATAATTTCGCACAAGTCCTTGCGCCAATTTGCATTTATTTTCCTCGCTTATCATTTCATGTGATAAATCACTTATATCTAAAGCAACATGGGTAAATAAGACTTAGTAACTAATTATCAATTTAATAACTTTTTTTAAATAAAGATTTATCTATAAAACCATTTTTGTATTAGGAAAAATTTTATAGGAATTAAAAAATTAATTAAAAAACTCCAGTAAAATAAATTTTATAGGAATTAAAAAATTAATTAAAAAATTCCAGTAAAATAAATTTTATAGGAATTAAAAAATTAATTAAATAATTCCAGTAAAAAAAAGTTTTTCAATTATAATATCAGGGCTCAATTTAATTTTTTACAACATCCCAGAAAAAAATGTCTGATCAAAACTTGTTTGGGCCGGACAGTGTCCGATCAAATTTTTAAAATATATTTTTACAGTTTTACGGAACCGAGTTATGCAATCGAAATCTTTGTTATGTTATTCAGTTTGTTCAACGTTAGTCTAGTGAAATTGTAGTTTTTTTCCTTATTATTTAGAATATTTCATCGCAGATTTTCGTTTTTTAATAAAATAGTTTCAATTTAATATTGTATGTTTTTTTAGATAAAATTTTAGATTTTCACGCTGTAACTGAGAGTGCTTTTTTTTTTTGTTAACAATTTGACAACGGCTGTTTTGATGTAAAATAAACGCATTATGCGTAAATTAAATGTTATATAAATGTCTTCCTATGATTTATTGCTTTATTTTTTTGTTGTTTCTATTTTTACGAAGAATTATTTAAAAGTTTTTTTTTTTAAACTTGACTTAACGAATTAAAGCATGAAATGATTAAAAATTACAATTTTAAAAAGACTACGTTATTATTTTAAACAATTTCTTTTGCAACTTTTTAAAAGAAATGTTTATACAACTAAAAAATATTATATTTTTTTCTTTCCAGTATTTAATTTCACTTTTCAATAATTTAGATTAAATTTCTTAAACAATCATTAGAAGTAACTAGTAAAAGTGTTTTGCATTATTTAAATTAAATGTTTTAAAAGATGAATTTCAAAGTAATTTTTTTCAAAAACAATTAAAAACGTAATAAAAAGTAATTTTAACTTCCAGTTTTTTTAGTTTTATTTTAAAGCTAATTTATTTTCATTTTCGTAAGGAATTGGTTAGCTTATTCTTTTAGTTTTTTCTTTTTTTTTTTCAAGCTTAAGTTTAGCTTAACATCTCTTTTTTCAGAACCATTTAAATCATTAAAACAGGGGTTGTAACCAAAAAAAATCATTTTCGTTGTCAGCAATAGCATTCGTTACTGTCCAAGCTTTGTTTTGTGGATTTTAATTCCCATCGGTTGAAATGTCTGATTACTTTGTAAATTGATTAGACAATTTGAGATTTTAGCCGGACATTGTCGGTTATCCGACTGTTAAATTGAGCCCTGTAATATTATAAGACAAAAATTAGGTAATTTAAATAAATTTAATATCATTTAATAAATTATCAATTTTTAGTTACATTTTAACAGTTTACAAATATTTAGCAACAAATTAAAACTTCAATTTAATGAATTTAAACTTGAATTGCATGAATTTAAACTTGAATTCAATGAATTAAAAATAAATTGCATGTCTTAGACAATTTATATTTTAAAAAAAATAGAATAACATACCAACAGATTCATTCTTTGCAAAGTTAATCTCGAGGGTATAGTCGGGATTTATATCCAAAGCATCAAGAACATCTTCATCAGTTAATGATACAATATGAAATTCATTGTATATCTGGCGTTTAATTTCATCCATTGATATATTTTTATTAAGATTATCCTAAACCCAAATGAAACACTAAATAATTACATAATATTAAATAAAATGGATTAAAAACAAAAATAAAACAAAATTATTTAAAGAAAAATAATAAAAATAAAAAAATGACCTTTTGGGTAATTTCTGTACTATTAGCAACATCTTTTTCATCACTGTCATCATTTTTGTTTATTTCTTCTTCAAGCATTTTTACTTCTTTTTCATTCCAAAGTTTTTCTTTACTTAACTATAATGCACAGTATTTTATTAATCGAATATTAAAATAAAACAAAACAAAAACCTGAAAAAGTTTTATTAAAATAAGTTTTATTAGAAAAAATAAAAGAGTAAAAAAAAGTATAGTTACTTCTTTAGCATTTTTACCAAAAGATAAAATTTTTGCTTTCATCAGCTTGTAGTTTTCTTCAACCTTTTGTACTGCAGGATAGAGTTTACTTGTAATGGCTTTGCCAATTGATTTCATAAACCCAGTCTCAAAACACCCTTCTATTTCTTGAGCCATGTTCTTTCCTCCAAAAGTAACATTAACTTTGATACCAAAACAGCCCTTTGAGGCAATCTCAAGAGATGTATCGAAGCAAATGTGATGAATTTGAATAATCTTTTTAGTTATGGTATTTGCAACATTTTTTATTTTTTTTATTCCTGCTGACCCGACTTTTTTGACACCATTCCAAACTTTATTTGCAGCTTTTTTAGCTGAAAAAGAGGCGCGGAAGTCATCCATAAACTTTTTGTTTTTATCAAATATAATATTTGTTTTCTTCGAAACATCTTCGAATGAAGCATAATTCATAGCACGTATCTTAAATAATTAAAACTTATAAAAGTAATAAGTAATAATATTAGGACGTGAATAACATAAAAGATATTAATATTATATTTTTTAATTAAAATAATTAAAACTTATAAAAGTTATAAGTTTTAATTATTATTTAAATTAATAAAAAAAATTTTTCACTAATAGTATTTTATGTGTATTTATTTTCTCTCTCAATGATGCAACAAAAAAATTTTTACTGTTTGTTTCTCTTTCTTTCCTTCAATTCTAATAGATGCCTCTCCTTTGTCAAGAACACAATTTGCAGAACACCAGTTTTTTGCAAAATATCCAGTTTCTTAAGTAAAAATTTATTTTCTTAAGTAAAAATTTATTTTCATTGAAAAATTTTTAATAAAGAATCAAATTATATCAAATTATACTTTTCAAAATTATATTAAATCAAAATTATATTAAATGAATAAAAAAAAAAAATTAAAATTAAAAAATATATCTTTCTACGATATACTCTACTACCTTTATGGCATTGCTTTGTGCAACTGTTCTCAATCTTGCTTTGATATTGTGAAATTTCATCAAAAGTTAAGGTCATTTTCTTGAAAAGCTTTATACCAATATTGTCTAAAGACTCTTTTGTTGAAGCAATTTCATTATATTGTAAAGCTAAAATAAATTATTAAGCAAAGCAAATAATTTTTAGTATTTCAAAAAAAGATTGACAGAGAAAATATTGTAGAATGTTATATCAAGAGTTAACATTTACAACTTTAAATTATTAAAACATTTTAAATTAATTAATTTATTTTTAAATCAATAAAATAATAAATTTTAAATCAAACAAAGCAATAAATCAAATGTTATGTCATTAAATTATAAATCACCACTTGCACCTAACATTTTTTGTTCAAATTTGTTATAAAATCTGTCATCATTATAAGAGGAATATAATAAGACATTCTGACAAGCTCAAAAAAAAATTATTTTCTACTTTTTAGTTTGAATGAAAAACGTTGTTTTTAGAAAAATTAATTGGTCAAAAATGGTTTTAAATTGCATTGTCATCGGCTTCTGAGCTATCCTGAAAGTTTCAGAGCTCTAGCTAGTCAGGAAGTAGGTTAAATATAGCTTGAAAGATTCTAACTGGACGGACAAACACACAAGAAATCAAGTTCAGAAAAACATAAAAATTCGTAAACAAAATTGATCAAAAAAATAGCAAGTTTTGCTTAATTGTTTTAACAACAATTATTTGGAATTAAAATATTGCATTTAAAATTAAAATATTTCATTTGAAATTAAAATAAAACAATGCTATTGAAATGATCAATATACCAGTGTAAACTAATTGAAACTAAAGGAATCTGTTGTTCTTCAAGAGACCACTTTTAAAAACAGAGTAATTAAGTATTCAAGCATTATGCCATATTATACTGTAAACTTCAAAAGATTAAATTTTAAAGTTTTCTATTGAATTACAAATATTAGCAGTTGTTAATAACATTCTCATAAAAAATTTCTATTATAACAAATATATAGAAATAATAATCACCTAAAATTATGTAAATTAAGTTCAACATACCAAGCAAAGTAAAATTTTACATAGACCACCTAATGCTAAATGGACTAAAGTTAACAACAAAAATAGCAGTTATAATGATAAAAAACTTACAATGTTCACTAATTTTTTTGTTTGTGTATGAATCAATGTCATCTGCTTTTTTAACAGCATCATCAACTACATTATTGGCCTCTTTGGTTGCTTCATTAACTCCAGTTGATAAACATGCTGAAACCTATATATTAAAAAAACTTAAAAGTAATTTTTTTCAGAAATTGAGAAAATCCTAAAACTATGTTTTTATTTCACATTAATATTTCAACATACTTTCATACAACTATATTATAAAAAACAACTATATTATAAAAAACTATATTATAAAAAATATTATTTTTTTTCTTATTTCTAAAGGTAATGTTTACATATTTCTAATATTCTTTAAACGTTTTGTATGATTTTTTATTTATTGTTTCATTAGATATTCCTGAAATTTTTTTTCAATCAGGAAACTAAAAAAACTGAAAAATTTTATACGGGGGAAAATGCAGTTTTTTTAGTTTCCAAAAGTTTATTGGACTGCCATATATATATATATACATATATTCATATATATATACATATATATATATTCATATATATATACATATATATATATTCATATATATATATATATATATATATATATATATATATATATATATATATATATATATATATATATATATATATATATATCAAATGTAAGTTAAATTTTAAGTATGCAATTGCTCAGAAAAGGAACTTGGACAAAAATAAAATTGTGTATAAGTATATTGAAACCAAATAAAGTAAATAAGAAAAATCTATATACCTGAAAGCCAGCCTTATCCAAAGTCATTTGACGGCTATATGGAGCTTTGACTGATAAATTGGCTGCAATAATATTAAATAAATTTCCTGATACATCAAATTTCATGCCTTGGTCACCAATATCAATTGTTATAGCTGATGAAATCCCCAAAATTGAAATAGCACCTTTTATATAAAACGTGGCCTGTAATACACAAATAAATACATTCTGATGACAAAAAAAAATTAAAATAAAATTACTTTTTTATAAAAAAGAAAAACTGAAAATGAAAAAAAAACATTTTATAATATGTTTTGATAACAAGTTTTTTTTTAATAACTTTTTTATAAAATGATTATTTTCAAAAATTTTATATAACTTTGCTTCATTTGAGACCCAACAAGATACACTTTTAAAAAAGCTTTTTGATAATATTAAGAACCCCTCAATTGTTCAATGGTCTTAAGACCGCTTATTTTGTGTTATTTTTTTATACAGAACACAAAACAAGGGTGCTAGTAGATATTTTTCAAAAATGTTGTTATATGGAACACCCTACATAGTATTATTAAATGATGGTTACCCATCATTTAATAATACTACCCAAGCAGTAACAAATGGACGGATACCCAGGTACCTGTTGACAGCCTTACATACATAGTTATTCTATATAATTAAGTTGACTTACTGAATTGCGAGAAATTTTTATGGCAACTTTTGGACCATAATTTTTGTTCTCTAAAGTTCTGGTCAGTTTTAGAGCACCATTGAAAATTTCAATTGGTGATAGTTCACAGTCAACTTGAAGCTCACTTTCTTTGATTACAACAAGACTTTTCACTCTAAAGCCAAGGACATTTAACATTCCTTGTAATTGAAATCCAAAGTTAACTTTTGTATCAAGTTGTTTAATCACTTTGCCTGAAAGAAAAAAAATAATAATAATCATAGTATAAAACATTTTTTGATAAAATAACCTTTTAGTAACAACTTGACTAACATTTTGTTTCATTGTTTTTTAGAAAATAACAGTTAAAAAAACAAAACAAAGCATAAAAAAACTTTTTTTTGATAATAATATTTGATATTAAATTATACTTTTTGAATAATAATACTAATAATAACATTAAGAAATAAATATTCATTTTTATTTTGTACGGATTTAAAGCGTTTTATCAAAAAACCCAAAAATTAACAAAAAGTAGCTGTTGTTCAACAAAAACTTGGTGATATTGTCCAGAAGATCCAAGAACTTTTAAGAATATTTTAAAACTTTAGGAAACTTTTTCCAAAATGTTCTCAACTTGTCATCAAATAATCATATAACATAAGTATAAAAGCACAGGTGACTTGTATGAAGCACAGCTGACTTTTATGAAGCACAGGTGACTTTTATGAAGCACAGGTGACTTTTATGAAGCACAGCTGACTTGAATCAACATTTTATGTTATTGGCAAACAAAGAGAAAAAGCATAATATTTGAAAAGTAATTATTTAATTTGAATGACATAAAGATTTTGTTTTCATCCAGAAGATGCATTTTGATATATGTGTAGACAATTTTTTTTTTATCAAAATTGTGTTACAAGAGGTACTGTAACATGCCTGTCATTGATCAGGACAAGTTCTGGGTACTGCATTTTACATGCAAATATTGCAAGAGAACTCATGAAGGTAAATTGAATAATTACTTCTAGAATAGATAAGCTTTATCATAGTGAATTTAAATAATTTAGATAGATAAATTTAAATAATTTAGATAGATAAATAATTTAGATGTAGTTCAAGGTGTACTATTAGAAAGTATGTTATATGTTAACATTACACCTTTTCTAATGTGAAATTTTCTGCCATTAAATGCCATTAATTATATTACAGGTTGGTGCAGAGGAGAAAAGAGAACCATAAATTTTTCTCTCCGAAGAATTTGGCAACAATCTAAAGACCACTCAAGCAAATACTATTGAAATGCTTGGAGCAGTTTTATTGAGTTGTTCATGATTACTTGGATTGAAACCTTTGTGGTGTAGGTTCAGATTATAATGAAGAATTAAATTAAAATGGGATGCAAAATTTCACTCAAAGTTCATTTTCTAGATGCTTATCTTGATATACCCAAGGAGTTTTCTCAAAAGAGCAAGACAAGCACTATCATGAGGACCACATTTTGGGGCTACTAAGTGAAAGTGTACAAATTTAAAAAATCAACTTATTACTTTAGTTTTTTGAGTGATTTTCTACTTTCGTCTTCATCTGTCTTTTTTTGTCTTTGGGTGATTCCGTGCAAGTGGTGCAAATTTTAATGAGGTCCCTCATTGACCATCTCAGATTTTATTAAATTTTTTTGATTTTGTACATATATATGTGAAAAGCATGTTTTGAAAATTTTAGATCAATATCTAATATGGTTCTTGATAAAACGCTATTTAAGTAGTGGGCTATTTTGCATGAAATTTCACTCTACAAGAAAAAAGCTTTTTTTCATCATTTTTAACAGCCAATAACTTTTGAACAATTTAGTTTTATACTTCAGTTATTATAAGATACCAAGTGTGCTGTAGATACTTTGGAAAAAGAAAAAAATTTTAATTCTGGCATGTTAACTTTTTCCATAATGGCAGGCTAAAGTTGAGATTTTTTTAATAATTTTTTTTGTGATTTTAATGATCTTAATCTTTAAAACTAGCTAAAAGATTAATACAAATCAAATTGCCTGCTGATCTACATGTGGTGGATAAACATTTTTTAAAAAATCAGTTGATTAAAGAGCTGCATTTAAAAGTTACAGGTCTCCAAAATGAGTCGGATCGAGATTTTTGTAAAATTGATCTGTGATGCAAAGCATCTGTTACCTAAGATGGCACTTTTTTTTTTCATAAAATTTTTTATACGCATCAAATAAAAAGTGTTAATTAATAGAAACCAAAAAAATCAATAGGCCCTTATTTATAACCCCCAAAAAGGCGTATTTAAAAGTCAGGTAAATTTTCCATAAAAAGTTATTACTTTTTAAAAGTTAAGTTATTGTTTCATTTAATTCTATATTACTAGTATGTCAATCTAAAAAGTACTAATAAAATAAATTGTTGTATTTTAGAACTAATTAATAATAAGTAATATGCCTGAGCTTTCTACTTGCTGTATTGGTAAAGCATTAAATGAACAGTGCTATCTTATTAAGTTTAACAAGTCTAAAAAAAGTAAATGCTACCAAGAACTGTCTACACTAAACCGAGAGCTTATTTCTTTGAGAAGCAAAATAAATCCCATAGATTTTATTTGTAGCTATCACGAGAAAGTTTACTTGTTGAGGTATGAGAATGAACATCGCAGGTATTGTTGTAAACCGTCGAACAAGCACGCAAAAAAAGTGAAAAGTAAATTTCAATATTTAAACTAATAACACTAAATAAATAAAAAAAAACAATATTTAATAATTATTACCGTTACTTTTTAGATTCTCTTAGAGTTATCAGTCTTTCATATGCCAAAGATTTTGGTTTAATACCTGGTCAAAAAATTTGCACTAGTTGCAGAAAAGTTCTGAATTGCAAACATAATACAAAAGAAAATGAACTCCAAGCAAAAGAAATTTATGTTGACAACCATACATTAAAAGAAGATTTTAATTTAAGTATTGCAAGTTTTGGATGCTCACCTCTTAAATTTGTTTCAAAAAAAGATAGAGTTGCATATGGAAAGCCTAAAATTGATAACGTAAGAGCTTATACACAAAAGGCTGTTGCCAATGTGCTAGGTTTAGAAATAGCTGCACTTGGTGGAATTGAATCACCCTCAAAAAAATGTTTGAAAAAACAAACACAGATTTAGACAATATTATGACTCAAATTAAGTCAAAATTTGAAAAAACATTGTCAAATTCTGAAAAAATCACACTTCTTACACTCACTTCAGACAGTTGGTCAATAGAGAAAACTTAGAAGTATTTTTTGACTTCAAAAAGATCTGCAGTACAAGCCAAAAAATAAAAAATAAAAAGTAAAATACTATCAAAACCTTCCTCAAAACTGGGTAGAAAACTAAGCAAAGATGTAATTACAGAGGTTGTTCATTTCTATGAATGTGATAAATATTCAAGGGTTTGTCCAGGAAAGAAAGTTTTGTTTCAGAAAATTCCTGGAATTGCTGGTTACAAAATCAGCAAATCCAGGAATTTTCTGAAATTGCTGATTTTGTAATCTAAATATATTGAAATTAATGGTTTGTAGCATTGAAAATAGAGATTGTATGCTGCATAGCTGCTATAAATGTCCTGCTAAAGAGGTTTTGTTAGATTATATTGACACTTTGTTTACAAAAAACGAAATTAGTGAAGTTAATTTTTATCAATGGCAAAAATCAAATTACCAATGTACTTTAGCACCAGCAACTTTACCTTTAGATGAATTTATTGAAATGGTTTAGGAACAGATAATTTATGAAAGCATCATTTTATATCATACTATTTTATATTATAAAGTCAAGCCACCTACTAGCAATATTTGAAAACTAATTTAAAAGAAAATCAAGCTTTAGTTCTTCTTGACTTTGCAGAAAACTATAGTTTTCTAATACAGGATGCAGTGCAAGGTTTTCACTGGAATAACAGCCAGGCAACTGTGCACCCCTTTGTTGCGTATTTTATAAAAGATGGAAAACTTGATAGTCAAAGTTATTGTGTTATATCAGATCATCTGAAACATGGAAAAGATGCTGTTCATTGCTTTATCGATAATGTTATTGATAAACTTAAACAACTACAAACATTTGAACACATTATCTATTTTAGTGATGGAGCTGCATTACAATATAAAATTACAAAAATGTCAACTTATGCTACCATAAACACGATTTTGACATGACTGCAGAGTGGCACTTTTTTGCAACATCGCATGGTAAAAGCCCTTATGATGGTATTGGTGGAACAGTGAAACATCTTGTTGCACAAGCCAGTCTACAGTCACTTACCGATCTTATTGACACACCAAGCAAAATGTATAGCTGGTGTGTTCAACACGTCAAAGGAATATCTTTTTTTTTTGTTGATAAAGTTTCAATAGAAACACATAATACAAACTTCAATTTGGAAGAAAGATATCGTTCTTGTTCTATAATACCTGGGACACAAAACCACCAAAGTTTTATCCCAACGTCACTTACTCAAAGTAAGAAGAGTTTCATTTGATAGTATTTGCACTAATGTGGATTTTTCTACTTGCAAAATTTTTATTAATAAAATTTCAAGTTACTCACCAGGAGAATATGTGGCCTGCGTTTACAATGCTCAATGGTATTTAGGAAACATTCTTAGTATTTCAGAAGAGCATAAAGATCTCAATATGAAATTCATGAAAAAGTCTTTATGTAACAAGTTCACTTGGCCATGCAGAGATGACCTTTGTTGGGTACCTCTGATGCATATTTTATGCAAAGTACAATCTCTTAAGGTCTAGTCAAACAGTGGAAGATTTTATATTATTGACTTAAAAGAAATCAATGAGATTATTTTATTATTTGAGAAATTTAACTTTTTGTAAACTTTATTGATTTTGTTTATTTTCTTAAAAATATTTTGTTTGTTTTTTATTAAAAAAAATGTGTATTATAAAGCGGGAAGGGGACAGAGGGGGAGGGGACTTTATCTATTGGGATTTAAAAAGACTTAATCTATTGGGATTATAAGCATTGATATTTTTTAATTGATATTTCATAATAAATAACATTATATAATTCAATGCATTTATTTATTATGTTAACTTCAGAATTTGATGGAAAATTTACCTGACTTTTAGAGACTACCTTTTGTGTGATGGATAAAAAATGTTTATCCATCACATGTAGATCAGCAGGCTATTTGATTTGTATTAATCTTTTGGCTAGTTTTAAAGATTAAGATCATTAAAATCACAAAAAAATTATTAAAAAAAAAAATCTCAATTTTTGCCCGCCATTATGGAAAAAGTTAACATGTCAGAATTTAATTTTTTTTTTTGTTTCCTATAGTATCTACAGCACACTTGGTAACTAATAATAACTGAAGCATAAAACTAAATTTTTCAAAAGTTATTGGCTGATAAAAATGACAAAAAAAAACCCTTTTTTCTTGTAGAGTGAAATTTCATGCAAAATAGCCCACTACTTAAATAGCGTTTTCTCAAGAACCATATTAGATATTGATCTAAAATTTTCAAAACATGCTTTTCACATATATATGTACAAAATCGAAAAATTCCAATAAAATCTGAGATGGTCCATAAGGGACCTTTGCACCACTTGGCATGGAATGACCCCTTTGACTATTCAATAATTATTTCTTACCAGAACGAATGATTTCTTACCAGACCGAATGATTAAAAAAATGAAACTTTTCCTATTAATGAAAACTTTCTTTGTGTTCATAAAACCAAAGTTTTTGCTTAATTTAGTTGGTTTTACAATCTTTAGAAAAGCATTTAAAACTTGATATTTTAAATCTGAGGACAAAAATTTTAATAATTATAAATTTCACTTACATTGTTATTTATGTAGAACTATATTTAAATAGTTTTACTTGTTTCAAAAAACTAACAATTTAACTAAATTTAGATCTTTTCTTTTTACATTTACATTTTTTCTTTTACATTTTTTTCTCTTTATCATACATTCATATTTCTACTTCTACTAGTAAAGTGCTCCAAAAAAGTGTAAATCATTATGCTCCCTGCCTATTTTCCCAATATTTTTATGATTATCAAAAAAAGACACCAACTTTTTTAATTTTTATACTTTTAGTTTTTTTAGCCCTGTCACCAAGTCTATGAAAAGTATGAAAATGTTGAAAACTTTACCATTTTCCGAATTAATCAAGTAATCAATTACAAATATTATATAAAAATTTTGGAATGGTTTCCTGAGGGTTTATAGTTCATAAAATTAAAATGCTTACTCATACCACAAACAACAAGAGTTGTACACTGCACTAATTAGCTAAAACTAGGCCAGAGAATCACGCAAAGTTGTCTTCTTGAGATTTGAGATATCATGTCAGTGCTTTTCAACAATAAGTATTGCCTCTGTATTCTGTCCTTTATAATTGTTCCAGCAAAGTCTGTGATAAGCTTGACTGCTCTCTCGCCCATTTTATTGTTAACCTTGCAATTGTGAACATGGTAGCTTCATTATATGTTGCATCAGTCACCCATTGTGTCAGTGGCAAGTTCATCCAACTGTTGCCAACATCCAAGAGCCTAACCAGCTGCCAAGACTTTGCCCCAATCAAATATGACAGCTGCATTGGTGAAGAAATCGAAAGCTGTGGAAATATAGCCACTTCTTTTAGAACACAGCTATTAGCATCATCTTCATGCTTAAGAAGTTGCTAAATGACTTGCTTCTTTTTGGAGACAAGAGCATGGAGAAAAGTGCAAACAGTGCTATGTCTTCAATACTATATCACAGATGTCTATTATGTGCTGTCATTACTGCTTGTGCCCAGGCTAGATCAAAACATTTATATCAAATGAGATGTATCTGCAGCCAAATATGCTAATAGCCATGCCTTTATGTAGAAAATAACATTGAACAAGCAAATGCAATGCAGCTTGTCCATTTTACCTTGGTTACAATTCACCTGCTCACCGAATCCATACATCTATGTACTGGATACAGCTTCAGGCTATAACCAGTGCACACCATGAGATGGTTTTTCTCCCAGAAGTATCAGTATCAACTTGGCACTTTCCCCATAGTCGTTACAAAACATTGCATTTTCTGATACACCATCAGATTCAGGCACAGACAGCAGTTCACAACAAAAGTTTCAGTCTGTAGCTGATCAAGTGAGTCCCAATGCTGCTAAAAATCCTTAAAGTCTGGTGTATTTGGGCTGGATGCTATACCAAATAAATTCTTTCAAACTGCACATGAAATTCAACATCTTTGACAAGTAGAATACATTTTGCCTCCCAATATCTCCAACTTGACACAGGGCCCATTCTTCCTACCAGAATTAGAAGCAGTTGTGTCAAAAACTAGACATACATTGGCAACACTCCACTCCTGCATTAGAGCATGAATAACAGTTTCCTGGATCATTTTAACACCATCAGCTATGACAGGAAAAGCAAGCAGTTTTTCTTTTCTGAAAACTGACAGTCCTGCTATTTTGGTACTTGATTTTGACAGTGTCACACTTTTCAAATCAGCACCAGCCTCTAACATAACTGCAGTCATCAATGCTGTTCTCTGACCAGCTAACAAATTCAACCTATCAGCAATTGTAGATATTATTACACTCTTTAACAGGTTTTTTGGAAGCTAAAGTGTTACCATGTCTTTCTTCTTTGCCACGCTTGCCAACTCTTCTCTTTTACACCACATTAAAAAATTTCGTCTTCTGGTAAAGTAACAAATCTGTTATAATTACTTTCATTTCTTGATTGTTGACCTGAGGATTCAACAATTGTTAAAAACAATTGTTGAATCCTCAGGTTTTGCTTTTAATCCATTTTCTATCTGAATAAGACCTTGTTCTCTTCATTTTATGTTCTATACTTTTTTATGTAGATCTTCTGTATCCAGACCTTTTTTTGAGCTTAAAGAGCACTCAGGAATCTTCATTTTTTTTGGTAGAAAGTCTGTTGGTTTCTATTTACACCTGGGCATCTTAGTGTGCCATAAAAAAGTAAGTCAGCCAATTTGCCACTTGAAATCAGCTAAATTGCAACTTGTTACTTATAATTACCGTGCTGCATGAAACTTTGCCAATATTACCATAATTGCGTGTTAAATGTACATTATCACATTTTGGAATGCTGGTGGCAAGGCTTACATTATTTAAATTCAACCAAAAATTTACCCATTTCATAAACCAATTGGAAAAAGGGTAGGGAGCAAGTTTTTTACAAACTTTATTTCTTACCATTGGCTTCTGGACCTATTCTACTAGTTATGTATTAGCATAATAGAATTTTCATAACAATTTTTTACCTTTTTTATTAGAAGAAAATCCAACAGTAAGACCTTCTGGAAACCCAGAATCTAAGATCACTTGGGGTAGATTCAAATCATAGCCAAATGCTTTTGAACAAGCACCCATAGAAAGTTTATTAATATTACCATAAAAGTAATTATCTGTACTACCCATATCCATTCCGCCTGCAGCTTTAGCAATTATTTCATTTCCTGGGATACCAAGACGTACCTCACCAGCAAGCTCTGAGAAAAGAAAAACAACTGTTAGTCTTATTAAAACTAATCAAAATATATTAAATAAAGTTCAAAAAGAAAACTTACCAAAACCACGAAATGTAAAAACTGGAAGAACTTGTAGTGTAACACTAATTCCTACATTTCCAAAAGCAAATTTAGGTATTCCAAATGGATTGTGCCACAAGCCATTCATGGTTCCCTCTAATTTTAAACCACCACTAACATCTAATGTTATTGAAACTAAAAATAATATAATTAAAAAATAATAAAATAACATAAGCATATATGTTTAAATATGAGCATAAACATAAGCATATATGTTTAAATATGAGCATAGTTATGCTTATATATAAGCAAACTTAGTTGAGGAGTTAGCTGAAACTTAAATGTTCAAATATAAAGAAAAGGACCAGAAGATACTTTTTAAATACGTTTAAATAGGTACAAATTTCTCCTAATTATAAAAAAAGGAACAGAAGGTACTTTTAAATACATTCTAATAGGTTCAAATTTTTCCTAATTATTTTGGTGGGTACTAGTAATGTTTCATTAAACAGACTCTAACAAAAAAGTAAACTTAAACTTCATTTTTTTTTCTATGTATAATTAATATTTTAATATTATAATATTATTCAATAGCTATTTCTTTTATTTCAAAAATTATATATTTGTTTTACATTAATGTTAAGTTTTTATTAACTCTCAGTCTGAAAACCTGATAATAGTTCTCTTCTGCTTAAATTTAATACTTTCAAATATTATATACAAAATAGATATATAAAATACCTTCAAATTCTAATGACTTGGGTTCCAAACGTAATGTCAGTTTTCCATTTAAAGAAAACTCATTTGTGGTTCCAACTTTTAAACTAAAGTATGCTGAATTTAAGACAGCTTTATCTGTGAGCTTTAGAGCACCATTGTAACCAGCTTTTAAAAAAAATACTCTCTCTTGGTATTCAGCAGTAATAAAAAAGATAGTGTCTTTAGGCATTTTATTTTTTGCAAGTTCACATAGTTTATTTTTTAAACAATCTTCAGGTATCTTCATCGTTCCATGGAAATATATTCCTAATTAAACAAGAAAAATTCAATTTCAATTTTTCTAAATATATTCCTAATTAATCAAGTGAAATTTACATAATATTAAACAATATTGTGTTGTTTTATATAAAATTGTACCAATTTTTAAGAAAAGTTTTTTTTGTCTTCAGCTAACTTCAGGCTATAGTGACTATAATTTTTTTTTTACAATTTTACAGACTAATATTGAAATTTTGCCTGAAGCCAAATAATTTATTTTTAGAAACTTGATGTAAAAATCTAATTTCAAACTACTTGTTTACCTAGTTATTCAATTGAACACACATGTTTCATATGTTTAGTTTAAAAAAAATAAAATGATAATGAAAATTAATAGCAAAATTTAACAACTCGTAAATTTTCTTGAATTTTTTACAGCTAAAAAAAAAAACATCAATATTTTTTTTTCCTGCATTAGAAATGACCCCAATATTTTCTTGAAAATTTAATGACAACAGATGATAAGTTTAAGAAGCAAAAATCCAGAAAGTCAAAAGTCAAACTCCACCACGTTGCGACATAATTTTTTAGATAAAATTGATTTTTGTTACTCATCTGAACTTTTTGCTGCTTGTAGAGTTCTGCATAAAACCCTTTAGAGTAAGAGAAATGCAAAATTTTTGGAATTTATCAAATACTGAATCCACTAAATCCATTGGAAAAGTCCTTAAATAATCAGTTGAAGAGAATAGTCAAGACACTCAATCAATTTTATAGACACAACCTGGCTCCTTGACGGCTGTTTTAACATTAGTGTCTCCTAAACAAAAACTGATTTTTAAATTAATATCACAGTCTTTGACTGCTTTTTGAATTTACTGATAAATGTTTGTTTATGTATGACATTCGACACACTTTGAGTATGAAAAAAAAAAATTAATTAAATGAACCTCTAAATAACCATGATGAAAGTTTAACTAAGAATCAAGGCCAATGTACACAACTTCAACTTTTTCTTCAGCTAAACAATTCTTTATTTTTTATTCTTTCATATGAACAGCTCAACATGCTTCAGTATTTATCACTTACAATAGGCAATAAGAGGATAGTGTCACAAATAGCTAACTTTACTGACAACTAACAAGTAACCAGAGAACGAATTTTAGTAGATGGCACAAAAGATGCTAGCTTTTTAGAGGAGTGCCTATCATTGTCTTTAAAGAAAAAAAGGAACAGAAGCAACATTACAACGATGTGATTGATTGAGGGTTGATGGCAAGAGCATTTCCAACAATGTTTACTATGCGTTTTTGCAACTTGCCTAGAAGAGAAAGAGAAGATCTGCCTCAAATCATTGGAAGATCCACCCCAAAGATGGCAACAGTATTCCATACAAGGACGAATTTGAGATTTATAAAGGAGTTATTATTTAAAAAAACTCTATCTGCTAGACTGTTTATTTTAAACTTTTCTGTTTCAATAAAGAAAATTTGAAACATAGCTACAGAATAAACAAAGTATATGTGAGAGTGTTAATTAGGTAAGTCTCCCTTTTAAAACTTTTGCTTGATAGCATCAATAAATTTAAAATTACTATTTAGAAGTGTCAATTTTTCAATAATATTCATTAAAAGGCAGATTATAACTCATCTAATAAACTAGCATAGACATAAATAATTAGTTACATAACTACATTACATTGTTTCCAGCATGGGATAATAAACACTGAATATGTTTGACTCTGCTCATGGACAGCAGCTGAGGGTTTTGGTTTGTGCATCTAAGAAACATATTGCAACACTTGTTTTGTATATGTGTATCTAAGGAACATATTAGAACACTTGGGTTGTATATGTACATCTAAGGAACATATTGGAACACTTGTTTTGTATATGTGCATCTAAGGAACATATTGCAACACTTGTTTTCTTTATGTGCATTTAAGGAACATGTTAGAACATTTGTTTTGTTTATGTGCACTTAAGGAACATATTAGAATGCTTGTTTTGTTTATGCGCATCTAAGAAAAATAAAGTGCCTAAGATGCAAATAAATAAGTGACTCAAATTTTTGATAGCTTACACATTTAATTTTTTTAAACTATGGAATTATACACATATAAAATGACTATAACTGACAGGAAAAAACTCTTTTAAATTGAAAAATTCCAATACAAATCATTATGAAAATCTTGATTCTTATTCACTAGTAAATTGATATTATATTGGCTGTGTTTCATTAAATATTTAAAATATACACGTGTACCTTTTTTAACAGTTTCAACAGCTTTTTTAACTTCTGGTAAAGTGAACAAGTTTGTTTCAGTATTTGAGATAATAAGTGCTAAAAAAAAAGTTTTAAAGTTTAATAAATCTTGTAACTGAATAATACTAGTAAAACTAGTAAAAAAAAAAATACTAGACAATTTTAGAATATTAGAAATCAAATATACGATCAATAATAAGAAAAACTGATAAAAAGTTTTGAAAAAAAAAAAAGGTTTTTAAAGATATTTACCAATATTAAGATTGACCATCCAGTTTGTACCCTTATATTTTTTTTTAATTAAATGTTCAAGAATACTGTCAACTCTGATATCCTTTAGAAAAATAGCCAAACCCATTTGTTTTTCACTCATAATTCTTTTGCTTGCATCTACTGATTGTACTTTTGTAGTAAGTTTGTCATCAAATGATTCACTTTTTATATCAGCACTACTAAAGGCAGAACCTTCATCTCCTTCTTGTTCATCCTGTTCATCTTGTTCATCTTCATAGACAATTTTTTCATCTGGAACAATATTGTTTCTTTTTGCTAAAATTTAAAGTATAATGAAATACTTTTTATTATTGTTATAACTTTGTTGTTAAATTAAAAAGTTAATTAAAAAATTAATTTAAAAGTAACAAAACTCACATTTAGGAAAGTTAACATTATAAGAATTGGTATCTGTTGAATAACTTTCGCTTGTTGAAGGATTAGTATCTGTTGAATAACTTTCATTTGTTGAAGGATTGATATCTGTTAAATAACTTTCATTTGATAACTGAGCAATTTGGTTTTCATTATTTGTTAAAAAGTTTTCTGACAACTTAGAAACTTCACTAAGAGGAGCTTGTTTACTTAACATGTATGCCTCAAACTTCATCCCATTCCAATTAAACAAAATAGGATTTCCGACTATTCTGAAATTAGAAATTGAAAAAAGAAATAACTACAAAATATTTTAATAACAGAATTAGTATTGGACCACATCATTATCATCAACATCAAACGACCAAAATCATTTGGAAATTATGAACGTTGGATTGCATTATACAAAAAATCACTCAAAATTTTGAAATGTTTAATGGTTTCCAAGATATTGAAGCTTTCACAAAAACTTTCAGGAAATTTCACAAGTACTTTCAGGAAATTTCACAAATATTTTCAAAAAACTTCACAAATACTTTCAGGAAATTTCACAAATACTTTCAGGATTTTTAAAATGAGAAATGATATAAAATATTTCACAAATAATTTTAGGTTTTTCCACAAATACTTTCAGGTTTTTTAAAATGAGAAATATTAGGCATCTTAATTATGAATTTAAGTAGGAATTCAAAAAATGAAAAATTAATAAATTAACTTATTTATAAAACCTAATTTTAAAGTCAAATATAACCAAATATCACAAAAAATAACCTAATACCACAAAATACCTCTGAATAAAACATTTAGTATTTTTTAAAGTTAGACAAGGAAAGTATATTAAAACATACAACAATTATTGACAAAATATTTAAATAAATCATATCCATTAAAATTGAAATTTAATGAAAAACTCTTTAAAGATTGACGCAAAAAGATAAAAACACCAAATTCAACTACTTAAAAAGCAACAAGATGTCAACCACAGTCACTTTAGGAGGTTATATAAGATGTCAACCGCAGTCTCTTCAGGAGGTTATATAAGAGTAGGCTATGATAAGTGGCCATAACCGAAACTATCCAGAAAGTAAGGGCACTTAAGTTCTTTCATGCTAAAGTTACTGCTTATTAACAACACAAACATTTCAAAAATATTATGTTTACAAGATTGCTGTACTTCAAGTAAAAAAAATGTTTGAAAAAATGGTAAATATATTTTATTTCAAACAAAAGGAAAATGGCAACAATATAGTGAACTATTGCAACATTCAAAATAACTTGTATTTTTAATACCTTGATTTAAATTTTGATTATTTAGTAACCAACATCCTGTACATTTTTTCAGAAACTTTTTTTTACTAAAATTTGTTTACTTTTTTTGTATACAGAAATAATTTTTAGCAACTAAATAGTTTATTATTTATAAATATTTGCTAAAAAAAACCTTGTGTGAAAATTGTAATTTGTGTTATTTTTCAGGTTAGATTTTTTTTTTAATTTAAAATTATAAGATACTCAAAATTTTAAAAGCAAAAAAAAAAGAAAAAAAAGAAAAGCTTTTGATTTTAGAAAGCTAAGTCATTAAAATAGCCAAAATCTCAAAAATGGCTCAACATTTTTGGCTGAGGTTTTGCACATATTATTTTCATAATTAGGAGTCAATTATCAAATTATAAAACAAAAATGAAGATTCATGGTTTAATAGTTTACTTAATTTGAATAATTTGGAATTTACAAAGTGTGCTATCTTGCTTATCATTGCAGAACAATTGTAAAAAAAAATCCAAGTCATTGATTTCCTTATAAACAAAATAAAATCAAACATAAAAATAAAAAAAAAAAAAAAGGGAAAAAAAATTACCTAATTTCTTGTGAAACACCTAAACCAAACTGAGCAGTTATAGTGAGATCTTGGATTCCAAAATTCAAGTTTGACATTTTTGATTTTATCTCATCATTTAACCCTTTATTTCCAAAAAGACTTATAAGATTATTAGATGATAGCAAACCAATTGAACCTAGATTATTAAAACATTTTTTAAACAATCAACATAAATAAAAAAAATTCACAAAATTACTAAAAATAGGGTAAAAATACCAGTTTTAAAAAGCATAGCATGATCTTATTGATTGTATCCAACAAATGTTTCTGTTACTATGATTTGTAGAAATTGTTTAGATTATCAGTTATACGAAATACTTGAAACTTTTAGTGATTTTTTCATTTAATGACAACACTAAGATTTATGTTGTAAACTACACCACTACTACTACAATTACAACAAGAATTATGACGACTAAAACTACTACTAGTACTACTACTACTACTACTACTACTACTACTACTACTACTACTACTACTACTACTACTACTACTACTACTACTACTACTACTACTACTACTACTACAACTAGTGTGACTACAACTATTACTGTAACTACAACTACTACTGTGACTATAACTACTGCTATGACTTCAACTACAACAGCAACTACTTCAACTATAACTATTACGACTACAACTACTACTACTAAGACTATGACTACAACGACAACAACTGCATCTATTACAATGATTACAATTATTACTACTACAATGATTACAATGATTACTACTACAATTACTATGCCTACTACTATTATGACTACAATAACTACTATAACTATATAAAATAAACTTGACTAGTATTAACAGAAAGAGTAGCATAAACAAGTTAGTGATTTACTCTTATAAAAGTCAATGTGGTTATTTATTATTTTACTTTTTATTTAAATTAATTCTTTGTTAATTAGTTCGTTTATACAATCAATACTATTGAACTTTAACTTTAATTTCTAATTTTAATATATTTTATAAACTTGAGTAAAAAAAATTTATAAGGTTTTACCTTTTAATTCAAATTTTTCTTTTTTTTTCACCACTTCAATTTTAATTGATGAGTCTCCTACTTTTAATTCAGCCTTAAGCAAGAAGCTAAAATCTTTATCACCATCGAGCTTAAGTTCGAATACTGCATTTTCAACAAATACGAAAGAATTCCCAAGAGATATCTTTTAATGTAAATCAAAAAAATATATATACATATATGTATATATAAAATATATATATATACATACATATATATACATATACATATATATATATATATATATATATATATATATATATATATATATATATATATATATATATATATGTTTATATATATATATATAAAACATATATATATACATAATGTAAAGCTGCTTTAATAACTATAAAGATATAAAACATATATATATATATATATATATATATATATATATATATATATATATATATATATATATATATATACATAATGTAAAGCTATATATATACATAATGTAAAGCTGCTTTTAATAAAAATGCAAAGATAATAGAACTAATTTAACTAAATTAGGTAATCAAGCTTAAATTAAATTTAAATGTAGAGATGGCATCTGTGCAGCTTAATAAAAAATATTTTAAACACTTTGAACTTTTATTTAAAAAAAAATGTTTTAAACACTTTGAACTTGTTTTATTAACAAAATAAAAACCTTGCCTCAAGATCAATATAGCAACTAAATAAAAAAAAAACATACCTTGTCAGGGATTGATATAGAAATGTCAACTTGTTTTGTTTTGATGTTCACATCATACTTTTTAAAAAGAATCCTGAAATTTGATTTAAATACATATTTTTGGAGAAGATCAAATGCTTTAGGTGCTAAAGCTGCTAAAATATTGATGCCATCTTCAAAAAGATTTGGTGGGAATACAAATGATAACTTCTCACTTTTGATAACAACTTGAAACGCCATATCTTTGGGTACGTTATTTAGGTTAGCAGGAGAACCTATTTTCTTTATAATTTTATTTATAGGAATGTTAAGGCTAATAACAGTACCTTCCAAAAACTTAGTGGGGTGATTTGGAATTGTAGCTGATAACAGATTTTTTATTTCAGAGTTTTTCAAACTTTGTATTTCCTTGTTAGCATACTCAACTGAGATATCTAGTTCAAGATCTTTTAATATGTCTATGCCATTTAAATCTTTCTTAATAATTGTTGAAATGACTTTTAAGGGTTGAATATTTTTCAAAGAAGCAACAACAGCCACAGCAACAGGACCGTTATCAGGCTTCTGAACAACCAGTAACCCACTAATCTCTCCAAGTCCATTGATTCCAGTAACTTTGCCACTTAGAATGATCTCATAGCTTCCATCTTCACTTCTTAAAATTTTAATTACAGGTTTTCCAATGATCATGTTGGAGAACATGCCTCCTTTGCTGACTATAGCATCACCATTAAGATCTTCCTTTCCAGCTATTCTTTCAGCTAATGCCTCTTCTTTTGTTTTTAAAAAGAACTTTGAAAAATCAGTAACTTTAATTTTATCAGCACTCATGTTAAGAACTGATGAGGAACTTGTTTTATCTTTTTTTACTTGAACAGTTACAATTTCACCTGCAATTTCAATAGCACCTTTTATATCAAATTCAAGTTTGTTAAAACTAAATTCCTTCTGCAAGTCTAAATAGTTAAACTTTAAGTCTAAGTTGCCATTAATGATCTAAAAAGAAAATATTTAACAAATGAGTGATTATATATATATGTATATATATATATATATATATATATATATATATATATATATATATATATATATATATATATATATATATATATATATATATATATATATATATATATATATATATATATATATATATATATATATATATATATATATATATATATATATATATATATATATATATATATATATATATATATATATATATATATATATATATATATATATATATATGTATATATGGGCAATTAAACAAGAAAAAGGAAAAAAATAAAAAGTTATGAAAACACATACTAAACTATATAACCCTTTTTTTTAACCATTCAAAAAAGTTAAATATAAAATACTTTTAAGTAAAAAAGTTATATAAAAAAATCATTTTATCGCACATAGCATGGTTTTAAAGTTGTAAAATTTGTATAAACGTATTTTGATGCTTATTTACAGTCCTGTTGTGTAGTGTTGAAAATCGTATTGTATAACCATAATTAAAGAACTTTCCGTAATTGAGAACTTTGATAATGTTATAGTGCATTTTTTTAACATAATATACACGGTTGTTAAGAATAACACAAACTTTTTTATATTTTCTTATATTATATATATATATATATATATATATATATATATATATATATATATATATATATATATATATATATATATATATATATATATATATATATATATATAAAATATATAAGAATATTTCTTATATATTTTATATATATATATATATATATATATATATATATATATATATATATATATATATATATATATATATATATATATATATATATATATATATATATATATATATATATATAAAAATATATAAGAAGTTTTTTTTTTTCTATAAATGGAAAAAAAAAAACTTTTTTTTTTTAATTCAAAAAATACAATGAAAATAAAATGGCAAAGAGAATGTTGCATTTAAACTCCAAAAGTAAACAATTTATTTGAATTGTAAACAAAGCAATTAAATGAATGTTTTATTAATAATGAATAGCATGAATAATGAAATAATATATTGAAATATATTGAAATATGTATACATAATAAAGCCTAATTACAAACATTTTATTAATAATGAATACCATTAAAATATCTAATGAATGAAACCAATTACGAACAGTTTTATGAAAAGGTTCCTATTTTTTATATTATATCAAATTTACAATTTTTTTTTTTAATAAATAAACTTTAATAAAGTCAAATCAAATGATAAAAAAAAATTCGAAAATCTATTTACTTCGGTGTTAGTTTTCAAGTTGAAATCTAACAAAATTAAATTAACAAAAAAAAGAATAAAAACAAACTCAGTTTTGAAAATAAAATAAACATTGTATAAGCACTATTTTGTGCTAAATTTGATGCTGATTAATATCATGCAAAAATTAATAACAATATTGCAAAATTGCAATATTATTATTTCTAAAAATAAATTCAAAATAAGACAGAAATAAGCAACAAAAAAAAGATAGCTAATTCCAGATACAGATAATTATAATTTGTATATAAATGTGTATATAAATGTGTTAATTAAATTAATTACAGATACAAGTAATTGTTATTATTTTACCCTTAATCCTGAGTATATAAATGAGTGAATTTATTGTATTAAAAAAATGGATGCAACTAAATCTAAACAAAAAATATAGAAGTAATATAAGCAAGTAAAATGAATCAAAGTAGGTGTAGACCAAGTAGGTGCCATCTATCTTGAGCATAATCTCCATAATATGCCATTTCGTATTTTTAATTGTGATGAGTTTGGATTACAATTTGACAAAATTTAATTTGTCTTGATTGATAATTCAACCGAGACAAAATTAAAAATTAAACTTCTAAATGTTTAAATGTGTCAAAATCAACTATTCAACTATCTGTTGGATAGTTGGAGTCAAACTGTCAAGGTAATTATTGTAGTTTATGAGCATTATTATTCAAAAATAGAAAACTAACTCAAAAATGTTAAAGTAGACTCATGAAAAAAAAAAATTAAAATAAAATTGGAGCAAGAAAAGCTTGTGGCATGCAAACTATGCAGTGGCTACATAATATTTTTTTTGAATTTAAAAACAGAAAAATTCACAAACATTAGAGCAGTGGCAGCTGAAAATAATTAACAACTAATTTGACCAACAATTATTAGATACTATCTATCTTAAGCGCAATCTCAATAAAAAGCTATTTCATATTTTTAATTTTGATTTAAAACATGAAATTTTAATTGTGAATAAAAATATTAAACGATCTGGATTACAATTTGACCAAGGCAAAGTTAAAATTGTATGCAGAAAAGATACCAGAAACCCAAAAAAATCTCCAAACAACAACAAGAAAATGATTGCTATTTTGACATGTTATGGAAATTATACATCAAGTAATTTACAAAAGATAATATATTATGAAAAGCAGGTGCAGAGGTGGCGCTGAAAATGTTTATCATAATAATAGCGAATCAGGTTGGATTTATAATAACAGCAAATCAGGTTGGATTTATAATAATAGCGAATCAGGTTGGATTTATAATAATAGCAAATCAGGTTGGATTTATAATAATAGCAAATCAGGTTGGATTTATAATAATAGCAAATCAGGTTGGATTTATAATAACAGGGGGAGGGGGTCCAAAATTCTATATTTCTTGTTTAACTAGTTACTCTAAATTAATTATTTGAGAAAAGTTTAAAAAACAATTCAGTTTTTGCAAATTTTTTATGGTTGACCTTCTACTTCTATTTTAAAAATTTAAAAGATATAAAAAATAAAAGTCTTTGCAAAAGTCTCTTTACGTATAAAGTTACACAACTTTTCTTTCAAATTTAAGCTATTCAAATTTTGATTGGATAAATTTGATTTTTAATCAAATTTATCCAATTTTTTTTTTGTAAAACGCAACGTTTTACAAAAAAAAAAGTTTAATCTGAATTCTTTTTCTAAAAAAACGTTTTATATAAGTAAAACAACAGATTGCTTCAAAAAAAAAGTTTTATCTGAAGTCTCTTTCTAAACAAAACGTTTTAAGTAATCAAAAAGACAGATTGCTTCAAAATATCTTAATTTCCTTTTTTTTATTTATTTTTAACCGTTATTCAAGCTATCAAGAAAGCTATTAAAGATTTCATTTTTTTTTTTCACTTTTCTTTAATGAAGTCAAGAATAAATCTTCTTTTAAAGTTTTAACAATTCTAAAGATAAACAGTTAGTATAAAGGAACACCGCTACCTAAAAGGCTTTATAAAAAACAAACTGGGTGATCAAATTTTGAAATTTTCTGCTTTACTCTAAAACGCAGTGAGTAGCTAGTTAAAAAAAAATTCTAGAAGCAGTTAATAAGTATACCTCAAAGAGGTTGAATGATTGTATCATTCTTGCTAGAGTATTTTAGCAAAAGCTAGAGTATTTTAGCCTCAGGACTTCAAAAAAGAGAAAAGTATTATTTGTTTGGTTGATGATGGAGTATGATTAGTATTAACTTTCTAAATTAAGTTGTTGCAGTTGGAAAGCTTTGGAAAAAACCCATTTAATTTCAACAGTAGATGTATACTTAATTATTTAAACCATATAAAAAATGAAGGTTTGGGTAGTTTAAAAATATTTTGGAGAGTTATTGTCCAGTTATTTGTCCAAAAAGTTGAAACTATGGAATATAGTTGAAACCAGCTACAAAAACAAATGGATAACAATGGAAGAGCAGCAAACTTTACATCAGGTGTGCAAGATGAGTTATGTTTTAGCTTGATTAAAGTTACACGGCAGCCCATTTAGCTGTGAACTAGACATTATTGAAGTAGATAAAGATATATTAAAATGAAAAAAAAGTTCGAAAAATGAGTTTCTTTATTTTAGGAATACAATGTAGGTCATTGTCGCGGAGGTCTATTCTGTTTAAATGCATGATTGTTGATATAAAAATACAAACCTCCATCTTATGTCTACCAAAGAACACGCTCATAAATTAGATGTTCTATAAGGAAAGTTCACGCAGAAATCTCTATCACATATAATGACTTTTATAGTTATTTTCAATAGTAAATAACAAACTGTATGAATTATTTTCATATATAATGCTTAATTTTTTTTGTTACTTATAAATGATAAGGTATATTATTGATAAATTAAACAGAAAAAGATTTATAGTTTTCTACTTTTCTTATATTTAATTATAATAATAATTGCATCTATTTTTAACAATGCCTTTTTTTGTCAATATATTCACTTTTATTAAAATCAAAGTAGAAGGCTAAGTTATTAAAATAAAAAAAAATGATTATGATTTTCAGAATCAGCATACAAAACTAATTAAGAAAAATTGGTTAAACTATAAAAAATCTAAAAAAAGACAATTATGGACCCCCCTTAATAATAATAGCGAATCAGATTGGATTTGTAATAATAGTGAATCAGGTTGGATTTCAAAAATCTGTTAATAATCTATTTAGTATTTTAAAACTTTTAAGTTAATAAAATAGTAAAAAATGAAAAACTTTGATAAAATACTAAATGAATAAATAGTTTTAATAAAATCAATAAAAAAAAAATAATTTTCCTAAAATTTAGCATACAATTAATAACAATGCATCAAATAAAATAATTTCTACCTGAACTTTGTCATTAATGACATCAAATGGTTTAGCAACACTGCAACTAAATTCCACATCACCTTTTTTTGAATCACAAATATTCAAAACAAGTTGTTTGACTGAAAAAGCACCAGGAGAAAAAGTGCTTTTAGTTAAGCTCTGTAAACTCTCTAACTTCTTACTTGCTAGCAATTCAAATACTTTGCCAAGTGATAGCTTTTCAGTACATGCTTTATCAGGTATTAATGTCCAAAGACAACCTTTTTTTGTACTTTTTATAGTACACCCAAAAACTTGGTAAGAAGTACTACCGTCAGAAGATTTTTTTCCAAATAAATCTTCAAAAGATGGTAAACCATCTAAAAAAATTAAATATAAAACTTGATATAAAAACTTGCTTAACAAAATAAATTTTGTAAAATAAACTTTTTTATAAATTATTTAAAAAAATAACTTAAAACTAATTTTTCTTAATAATATTTTTTTTTAACATTTAAAGTATATATTTGTTATGTAATATAATGTAAAAACTAATTCACTTTAGAAAATAAAATATATCTTGAAAGGGGTCATCAATGATGGGTTAGTAGTTTAGTTACGACTCATTCAGGACTTCCCAGTGGCACAGAACATCCGCTGGAGGTTTTGATGATATCCTATAAACTTGCGACATTTAGAGGATGTTATATGTTCACTGGGTTGTTGTTAAAGTGTTACAATTTTGTGATGAGGAGAGGGGATCAAAAATGGTCAAATTTGTGTGACTTAAATTATGTACGAACCTTAATGAAAAAATAGCATCTAACCATTTTTGTTATTTTTAAACTTAACATCTACTTTTTTATAAATTTATATAGACCTTTGACTATTTCATAATTCTAATTTTAATAAAAAGTCATAAATTATTTAAAATTAAGAAGAAAAAAATTTATTTTTATAACTTTTTTTATTTCACTTTTTTAAATTTTTTATACTATTTTCAGAAAATTATAACTTTTTTATTATTCTTATCATTTTTATTATATTTTTTATAAAACAAGACTATAAATATTATGCAATATCATTTATCAACAAAGTTTATCATGTATATGCAAAATAGCCTTACATCACCATCATTTATGTCATCATCAAACAAAGTTCATTTATTATACATCTTCAGCCCTCAAAATTAGGAAAAATGCTCATTTTTGCAATGCCCCATGTTTCTGGCTAGTTTTTTGCAGATGAAAAAAAGAATTTGCCGATGTCATTTTTGCAATGCCCCATGTTTCCACCCCAGGGCAATGCCCTCAATCTTTTAGAGGTTGGCATTTTTTTGTTGACCTCAAACACTTTTAGGTCAGTAGTTAGGTCGGCATTGCCGAATGCCAAACCTTATTCCGAGGGTTTGTTCTTTAACATAGCTTAATGTCACCAAACAAAATTCATTATGCATCAAAGTTTATTAAACAAAGTTTATCAAAGATATAAAACAAGCAAATCGACACGTCAATTTTTTTACTACAATTAAGTTACTATCTAACTTTATTATAACACAACCCTATAAAAACATCCAACTATCAGATTTAATTTTTACACAAGCTTGCTTATTTTTGTAAAACTGCTTTATAAAATCATACATGAAGTTGAGTGCTTCATGAATATTATCATTTGAATTTATAAGACAGTCATACATTTACCATTTTTTAAAACAAAAAAATTTAAATTACTTTGACTTAGCAGACTAGAAAGAGTTCTTTTATCGTGATGCGGTTTTAGGTAGTCATATTTGGTTTCAGCAAAACATACCACTTGAATAAGAACAAGAACAACAAAAAGCATCCTGACCTAAAAACAAGAGGAGATTTTTACAGTAAAAAAAAAATTCTTGAAAAATTATTAACAAAAGTTTCATTAGTGTGCAGTTATTGCAACAGTTATTGTTATTGCAACTGTATATTAAAAATTTCACAAATCTGATCATTATTTATTAAAGAAGTTTCGCAATCTATATTTTTTAACAATGCAATAGCAAACATAAGATTTCTTAGATTTATGTTGTGAAACCGTAATAAATAAGTCTATATTAAATATTTTCAGCTTTTATCAAATATTAAATCAAACGCAATTCAAGATATACAAAACAGATTTTATAACACATGAATTAAATATAATTAGAATAACTTAAGTTCATTCAACCGTACTCTATAATGACGTGATTGACGTCAATTATTTAGTTCAAATACATAGTTCTTAAGAATATAACAGTCTTCTCCATTTTAAGAAAGTTTTAGTACAGCTTACTCTTGGATAATACTCTAAAAAAGAAAGTAGTCGTCAAGATACTTTAGCCTTTTAATAGTACGTCCTGTTCGGGAGATTATATTAGGTTGTGTGTCAGGAGTAATAACCTTTTGAATAGATGGTTGGTTAGGTACTGATATAGTTGATTGATCATAAGAGAAGCTATCTTTTATTGGGTTCCCAAACGGATGCAGTAGGTTCAAAACTACTTCATTGGTATCATTTAATTCAACTTGTTTTTCTATTTCCAGAATTGTGGTTGTTGTTACTAATGACAATTTTGTCATTGTTCGAGCATTCAGACTGTTGTTGGACTGATTCTATGAAGGGATTTCTACCTGTAGTGGGGCAAGATCTTTTTTTAAAACTGTATCAATTTTTCCATTTTGAAGTTTTACGCGTGCGAAATGAGGCGATATTGTTTCTAATAGTTGAACTCTGTCGACAAGTGGATCTCCCTTTAATCGTATCTGACGTCTGTATAAAAATGTCGAATCCTGCTCTGTTAAGAAGTTTGGTAGAACTGTACCTATTATTGATGAACGCTGAAAGTTCATCATCCTCTGATGAGGTGTCTCAATCGTAGCAGTACACAGAAGTCCTCTTATAAAGGATAGAGCCATTTGCAATGCTACCTCCCATCTATCTTTTCCCAGACTCAAACTTTAAGTGATATACTTTCAAACTGTGTTCCTCGATCTGTATGCATAGATGATGGTGCACCTAATAATTAAAAAAGAATGAGAAGGTGTTGTATCACAGTGTTGGCTGTTATATCCTTGGAATACAATGGAATGCAAATGGGTAGCAAGAGTATTCGATTATCACGAGGATGTATTTATTAGCTGAGGTGGATTGTAAAGGTCCATCAAAGTCCATAGATAAGCGTTCCCAAGGTCTCGTAGCCTGAATAAGACGACCAGCTGGAGGTTTGTAGAAGCGCGGTTTGAGTTCCTTACAGGTTGGACATTGGCTTGTTAGTTGTTTAACTTCAGTGGTAGAGTAAGGTAGATTTCGGGTTTTGCAATAATGTATCATTTTTTTAATTCCAGGATGACACAGTTGGGAGTAAATATTGTAAAAGGTTTTATTGGTGTTTTGAATTGAGCAACATCGAGAAAGGGCATCGGCTACAATATTTTGATTTCCTGGTCTGTATGAAACTGTATAATTAATATCTGCTAATTCTAAACGCCATCAAGTCAGTTTTTCGTTTTTAATTTTTGTTGAAATCTGTTTATTGAAAATAAGGGAAATGGATCTTTGGTCTGTAATTATAATGATGTATGGTACTGAATTAATTAGGTGTTTCCATCTTCTAAAGCATTCTACAATAGCAACTGCTTCTTTCTCGACAATTGCGTGTTTTCTTTCAGCATTTGATAGTGTTCTCGAGAAGAAGGCCACGGGTCTGTCTAGTTAAAGTAACGTTAATCCCAGTGCTGTGTCAGAGGCATCTGTTTCAATAGTTAGTTGAACTTTGAAATTGGGGGAGGCTAGACAAGCTTCTGCAAGTTTAATTTTGAGCTTTTTAATTGCTTCTTTTGCTTGTGGGATCAAGCTCTTTGTTAGAAAGTTGTCTCCTGCTTGAGTAAGCGGTAGAGTAAACTTGGTACAGTTATGTATTCATTTAGCGTAGTAGACAAACAAACCTATCATTCGGTTTAATTCTTTTAAGATTTTTGGTTCTGGCATATTTATAAGAGCTTCATATCTTTTAGGGTCGGGTTTTAAGGTTCCATTTTCAATGATATGGCCTAAGAATTCGATGTGAGTTTTTTAAAATTTGCTCTTTTCTTTATTTATTTCTACATTGGCGATTTGAGCTGCGTGTAGGAAACGGCTAAGATTTTTATTGTGCTCTTGGTCATCTTTTCCACCAATAATTATATCATCGAGGTAAGCATATGTATTTTCTAGTTTATTATTTTGAATAAATTCATCCATAACTCGCTGAAAAATTGGTACAGCATTTGTGCAACCAAAAGATAAACGTTTAAACTCGTATAATCTGCTATTTGCTTCGGTCAGCTTGTAATCTTCAGGTCGTATTTTTACCTGATGGTAAGCCGATTTGAGGTCAATTGTACTGAAGAATTTATGAGCAGCTATCTTAAGTATCAAATCGTCGATTTGAGGTGTTGGATATGAATTGAGTGTGTAGATTGATTGTATTTGAATAATCACAAGACGATTTTTGTTTCCAGATGATACTACAAAACATTGTGCACGCCAGAGACTACGGCTCACTTGGATTATATCTTGCTTTAACATACGGTTTATCTTGTCTGTTATGAAGGAATTATATTTAGAAACCCATTGTGATGTTGTAGCGACTGGCTTAATTTTGTCAATATCCACTCCAGGTATCAATGCGTAAGTAGTACACTTCATACTCTTTGTTGCCAGACAGAACTTTAAGGGCTCTTTATTTCCTTTAAAAATGATCGTAATTGAGGTATGTTGTGTTAACAAGTCCATTCCGATAATTACCGGTGCTACCAAGTTGTCTTCAACAAGGAACTGCACTTTGAATTTTTCGCAAGCTAATAACAATGAGCCTTGGAAGATTCCTTTAACTTTTAATGTCGAATTATCTGCCAATAATACTTTCGAGGTAGATTGAGTATCGTAAGGAAGGTTCTAATGTTGAAGAAGTTCTGATGTAATAAACGTTTTATTGGAGCCAGTATCTATCAGTGCCTGTGTTATATTTTTGTTAATGGTGACATTAATTAGTCTATCAGGTGAGTTGATTGCTGCTATGACCGTAGATACTAGTGCATTATCGTTTTCTTCCTGATATTCCTTAACAACTGCTGCTTTAGTGTAGGTCTTACTTTGTTTCTTTGAGAGGCAGACAGTTTCCCAGTGGCTTCTTCTTTGACAATGTTTACAGGTGGAATTTCGTGCTGGGCATTTAGTTTTTAGATGTGGATCATTACCGCACCAGTAACAATGAGATTTAGTAAGGTTACGACTTGCGGCAAAAGTTGTAGTATTAGCTGTCGTGGTTAGTGTCAAATTAAAAGCATCTTTGGTGGCTAATTCCATTGTTAGCGCTGTTTTATAGGGTGCCTCAAGATTGTCTTCTGTAGCTTCAAGGAGTCGTTGTCGAATAGAAGGTGAGTAAATTCCAGCAACAAAAGCGTCGCAAATTAGTAAACTAATATGTTGTTCTGCTGTTAGAGGTTCTGTTGGACATTTTCTTGCGAATTGTTTCAGGGTACTCATGAAGCTTTCAATTCTGTTTCTCCTTCTTAAAAGAGCAAAGTTTGTGGTTCATCATAATAGGTGTTGATCGTTTTTGATATTTGTTATCAAGTATTTTGATTGCATCATCAAATGATGTAGTACCCTGAATTATTGTAAAAGCTTTAACACCGGATAGTTCGAATAAAATTTGGAGTTTGCAATCTTTGTCTATGTTAACTTTATCTAAATAAGTTGATAACATTTTTTTCCAGTATATATACTCTTCTTCGTTTGATTCGTCGCATAGTACTTTTTTAAATATTTTTGCATCCATAATGTAAATAAAAAATATTTGATAAAATTGTTGTGAAACCGTAATAAATAAGTCTATATTAAATATTTTCGGCTTTTATAAATATAAAATCAAACACAATTCAAGATCTACAAATCAGATTTTATAACACATCAATTAAATATAATTAGAATAACTTAAGTTCATTCAACCGTACTCTATAATGACGTGATTGACATCAATTATTTAGTTCAAATACATAGTTCTTAAGAATATAACAATTTAATTATTCTATAAAACAATTATTCTACAAAGAAAAAAGATTTATTTGCAATGTAGTAGAATATAATAAATCCTGAAATGCTTAAAACAGTTATATAAATGACAAGAACAAGACTTACAATAACTCAGGGCAGTTAATATAATATATTAAATACATATACCAACATGAGACTAATGATATTACTATTAAAACTGTATTCATAAAAATAATAACAGTGATAATAATAGTAACATTAAAAATAATAATAATATCAAAATAAAGCAATGCTAACATGATAAAACCAATATTAACAGAAAAAACATTAACAATAACATTAATAACAGTACTAATATAAGAAAAAGCAATGAAAAATTAACTTTCACAAGTAAAAGTAAAGGATGACTATATAGAGAAAAAAGATAAAAAAATTATTATTAATATAAAAATATAACTTTATTAATTGTTTTTGTGAACTAAGACGTTCACTTCAAAAGTATCATAAGGTTGCTTGCAAACTTGTTAGGAGTGAATCATAATTAAATAAAAAATAAAAAAAGTACTTTTTTTTCTTTATGTTAGAATTTAGATCTAGATTAAAATTTTAGCTTTTAATTTAAAGAAATTTAAAAATTTTGATAAAAGTTAAATTTAATCAGAACTATTCTAGAAGCTGGAACCTCTAGAGCTAGAATTAGTAGCTAAATTTAGAAAGTAGAAGAGCTAAAATAGAAGCTATACTTTAAGTATAACAATATATTTAAATTCAAAAATTATAAAAAATAAAAATAATAAATACCTTATTTTATCCATTTTCAAACCAAAAACTAATGTCAAAAGTCTAAATACTAGTTATTAGATCTCACAGAACCTATCGAACGGGCATAAACTATTTTATGTCACTTAGCTACTTTAATTAACGTTCTTCCAGCTGATTGAAAATAAGATTTTGAATACTTAATAATACGCAGATTGGAAAAGTTATTGTTATTATTTAACAGATAATGAATTATTAAGTCTGCGTTTTAATAAAAAGTCAAAATCTTAATTTGAATCATTCAAAAGAACGCTAACCAGCTACTTTAACAGCACGTGGTAATGTTTGTTTGTTAACAACGTTAAAAACTTACACTATTCGTATACTTTTTTTTTTAGTTTTTACTAACCAACACGCCCGTTGGTTACTGCCCGAGTAGCATTCTGAAATGATGGATAACCGTCGTTTTATAAGTTTGAAATTCATTTCATTCATTTTTAAATTGATTATATTAATTTGGTATGTGAAAAAAGATCTTGTTGCTAAAAAATTTAATAGTTACGATTTATTATCACCTTCAGAATTTCTGAGGATAGTATAACGTTCGGAAAGTTGTTTAAGTTTCTAATACAGGTACCTAATTATTATTACTCAATGATTATTATTATTACTTCTATGTACAATGTTTTCCTTAACATAAAACAGTAATTTATTCAACTTTTTTAATTTGACTCTCGGACAAAAATCTTTTAAAATCTTAAAAAAAAGATGGAAAATATAGTTATTTTAGCACACAGGAACACGTGCATACATGCCACTTCAGTACCATTAGAATACGCTTTCTTGACTGCTGGAAATGTGGTCAATCTATGGCGTACATCGTTTGGCACCCGAAACAGAGGAATCGCTAGTATTTCTAAACCGAAACCTGGAGACTGGAGAGGAATCGCTAGTATTTCTAAACCGAAACCTGGACACTTAAAATAAAACAAAATTAAGAAAAAGAACACTTAAAAAAAAAGTGGTCATTAAATTAAAATTCTTATTGCCTGTCTATAAGAACAAGTTTTATAAAAATGTTAGTTTTTTAAAGGGTATTTGTCCGTTTGTTTAACGGGTACCTCGACAGGCATTTTCACAATTTTCGATAGCGCTAGTAGAGTGCTGAGAAAAGTAGATTGAAGGAGCATTTAAATGGTTCAAACAGCAGCGCGTATACATTGAATTTTTATTACTTTTTTAATAAGTCTCCTAAACATGTTAGAATATTGCATATTAGAACTTTTTTTATTAGTTTTTCAGGTGATTTATACTGTCTTATACGGGAGAGTTAAAAAAAAGTGTCAACGTGATCGGATATTTTTTATTATTATAATTATTTTCTCTATAAACTGAATTAAAAAAATAACAAATTTTACCGCTTACAAAGTTATTTAATTTCGAAGAAAAAAATAAAAAGAAAAACCCCAAAGAACTAAAAAAATCGGTTGAGTTTGTTAGTGAGAAATACGATGCAATTCTTATAAAGCTATCCAAAATTAAAACGAAGTCTAACTCAACATGCCTAAGCATGACGAAAACAAAAAAAAAAAAAAAAAAGCTGGAGGAATCTGTAAAAGAATAAAAGTAACGCATTTGTGAAAATTTATTTAATATTCATGAAATGTTTATTTAATATTCATTATTTAATATTCATGAAAAATTATTAAATGTGATAACGGATACAAAGATTTAACGGATACGAAGATTTAAATGGCAATACCATGTTGCCATGGCAATACCATGTTAAAATCTAATAAACTTAGAAGTGAAGCAGTGTTTAGTCGAATACCATGTTAAAATCTAATGAAATTAGAAGTGAAGCAGTGTTTAGTCGAATACCATGTTAAAATCTAATGAACTTAGAAGTGAAGCAGTGTTTAGTCGAGCTGCAGAATGAAAGTATTGATTTAAAGAAATTAGTATCTAAACACACTAATATGGTAATTGAACTAATTTCTAATTTAAAGTCAGAAAAATTACCTTTAAAATTGCCCTCTAAGTGAATTTTTGATGCTAAATAATAATGACAACGTTTCTTCGGATTTTAATCTGATACTTATAAAAAAACTAGCTGAAGAAATCTTTTTTCTAAGAAAAGAGGGTAATATTGTTATTATAATGTATTTCACCATATAGAAAATTTACAAAATTAGTTATTATAAAATTTAAATACACGGGGGTAAAATGAAGACAAATTCAGTCGCAAAACCCCTCAATAGTTATTAGGTCTGATATTATTCACTCACAAACAGTTCATTGTACCGTGACCAAACTGATTTTTCTTATAATGTTACAAAAAAAATTTTTTTTTCAATAGCTATTCTTACTGGAAACAAAAACTAGATAATTGATTTTTGCTAACGAATAGTAAAAGTATTTATAAAGATAACAAAATTGATAGCATTAATTTATGCTCGGTTAATGCCATTATCAGTCAAATAGGAAGTTCAGTAGATTCATATATAAAAGTATGAAATTATCAAACTCGAAAAATTTTTTAAACCAACGATTAAAAATATTTGCAAATTACAATAGAAATCCATTAAAAACATTAATATCTTTAATGCTGGTGCTCCCTTGCCTACTTATAATAATAGCAACAAAAATAATAAACAAGATTTAGTCTTTTTACTTTATTAAGCTTGTATTTGAAAATACACCGTATTCCAAAATCAAGTTTTAACTTTAATCAATTTTTACCATTGACTCATTGTCAGTTGCAACTAAAAACAAAAGAAAACCTAAAACAAAAGATCAGCTAACTATTAGAAACTCTCGTAACTTACAAGTGATAATATTTTTATTCGTTTTTTCAATCAAATTAAGTTTAACTTATTATATAAAGAAAAAATGAGACTAATTAATCTTCTACAGAATAATAACACTCTCGATCAGCCCTTTTATTTTAACGTTCAAAATAACAAAATTTGTTACTTCAACCACCCAAAAAGATCTGAAGCTAAAAAAACATTTACACCAATTAACATCAAGCAATTGCAGCAGCAAAATAATAATGTTTGTAATATTACCACTTCAAACTCAAATTAACTAGGCCTTTATTTTGTTAAAAACCAACATCCAACTATATAGTATTCAGGCACGTAAACATCGATTCAACCAAAAATAAAATCGAAATTTTAAAGGAAATAATCAAGGCAAAACTGAAATACCAAAGATTTCTGAAACTAAAATTGATAAATCTAAAACTAATACTGACAAAATAAAAATATTAATTAAAATAGTTATTATGAATGTTTTCTTGTGGAAATGATTTTAAGAAACAGAAATTGGCTAATTACCTGAAGCAATAATTCTAAAATTTTGTCATTCAATCAATTTTTATATAAATCTTGAAAAAAATCTCAATTATTTTAAAAGTAAATACGAAAATTTTATATTTATGGGAGATTTTAATGCTGAGATGAACAACAAACTTATGGGAGAGTTTTGTATTATGTATAAACTGAAATCTCTAAAAGAAGTACCTACTTGTCTTAAAAATATACATAAACCAAAAGTATTTGACCTTATCTTAACAAATGTCCCGAAATACTTCTGCAAATCAAATGCAATCAAAACAGATTTATCTGATTTTCATAAATCTTGGCCTTGAGATGTAATTTTCCTAATAAAGAAAATAAAATTAAAAAAACTACAAATACTGGATTTTATTGAATTTAAAAACACCATAACAGTCACTTTAATAAGCATACACCACAAAAAAGAAGTTATTTAAGCTGAACAAAGAATTGAACAATGAACTGAACAATGCTGTAATGAATCGGTCTAGACTTATAAATCGTTACCGTTTGAATAAAACGGAATCTAAGAAAAAAAGCATATAACAGTCAAAGAAACTATAGAGTAGGACTCCTAAAAAAAATCTAAAAAATTATTTATCAAATATCTCTAAAATAAAAATGATACCGATAATAATACCTTTTGGAAAACAGCGTTACAGGGAGAACTTACATTTAATGAAAAAGTTATTTTAGTAGAAAATATTTCTACAATATCAGATGATAAACTCGTGGCCGATATTTTTAACTCAAATTAGAAAGACACAATGTTTAATTGCAATAACCGAAAAACTAAGAAAAGCCTTTGATCACAACGGAAGCTTTGGCGCTTTACTAACTGATATATCTAAAGCCAATGATTGCATATTGCATGCGTTATTAATCTTCAAACTAGATGCATATGGTTTTAGCTCAAAACAGTATAATGTTTATGTTCTCCTTCCTAATGGATAGAAAACAAAGAATAAATGAAATGAGAATAAATGATAAAAAATAATGGATAGAAAACAAAGAATAAATGAAATGAGAATAAATGATAAATTTAGTTGTTACACTGATTTCTTTTTATTCCCGAGTAAGTATTTTCCCAGTAGAAACTAAATGAGCACATGAATTAAATCTATGAGAGACATTTGAGAATTATCTACAGAGACTTTGAACCTTAAAAACATTAAAAATTCTCTTACTTAACAGCGATACTTTTATAATAGACCAAAAAAACCATTGTTTAGTAACTGAGATTTTCAAAGTAAAATTACATATTGCACCAACATAAATTAATGAAGTTTCTTGAATTAAATTTGAAATATGACAAATCAAACCTCACAGCAGCATTTAACCCGCCTCTTTCCTTACCAATAAAGTATATTTGACCAGAGCCGGCTTCAAATCACACACCACCGGCTCTGAAGCCAGAACTCTATCCACGACTCTTTCCCTACCAATAATGCTTATATAACCAGTTGCGGCTTCGAACTACCAACCTGGTACTGATTCGAACTACAATCTGGTTCTGAAACCAAACTCTAAACACTACCCTAGTAAAAAAGTTCTATAGACTTTCTATAAACTTTTGAAATATTCGCTCTATAGAAATTTCTATAGAATCTCTGTTTATTCCTAATGAAATAACTACAGACCTTTATATATATATATATATATATATATATATATATATATATATATATATATATATATATATATATATATATATATATATATATATATATATATATATAGATAGATAGATATATATATATATATATATATATATATATATATATATATATATATATATATATATATATATATATATATATATATATATATATATATATATATATATATATATATATATAATAAACAAAGTTTTATAGCAATTTCTTTAGAAATTAATAGACATTTTATAGAAATTCTATAGAATTTCAATAAACCATGTTTCAAAAATTTATAGAAATTCTACAGAATTTTTTTTTCTGGCTGCTGAAATGTTAGAATGTTAATATGCTATAAAAAATGATGAAATTGAAAGTTGATTTGAAACAATAAGGCAGATCACATTTAAGAATTGAATTTAAGAAACTTTTTATGTTATTTAGGTAATTTTTTTTATTTTGAAAAATAGACGTAAAATTCTTGAAAATAAAATGTTTTATTAGTGAACCTAAAACTTTTAACTTTTAACTTTTGGTATTTCTAAGAAATCTTATTACAGATCACCGCCGAAGAGCATTTAACCAGAAAGTTAACACGCCTCTTTCATTACCAATATCGCTCATCGGGCAAGAGCCGACATCGATTCTAATATTTCTTGGCATTCTAACCGCTGCGCTAGAGCTGCACTTTTAGGTACAATGTGTAAGGTTTCATTTTAAGAGTTTCAAAAAATGTTTGTGAATTACATGAAACTTTGAATCGTATGATAAAAGTTCTACAGGCATAACAGTTTTATCATAAAATAGCTCATTTGTGTCACAAAAAAAAAAAATTCAAAACCCCCTGAATTAAACATTATATTCACTTAAACCAGCAAATGTTCAAATATTGGAAAATAGAAATAACTTTGTAAAACTTTTTTTTTACTTTGCAATTGTTGTATCCATACCAGTACTGTTTAAATTCATCTTCGTTAAACCTAACTTATTGAGACTTGCTTTGAAACAGTTTAGTTAAAACAGTTTAGGAAGTGACTAAAATAGTAGCGTTATCAAGTAACTTCGAGTTTAAGTATTTATTTCTTGTATTCATTTTTGATATTTGAATTCATTCTTTTAACAATCATGATTAACCAATAATCATTTTTTAATTCCTTTAAAAAAAAAATTTAATTCCATAAAAAAGTTTCATATTATTGTATATATAAACTATTTTTCATTTTTTATTGAAAAACTTTCATTCCTTATAAAAATTGTTCTCTTATTATCAAAAAAATTTCATACCTTATAAATTATTGCTCTTTTTTATTTCTTTTTAAGTATGTTTCGCCTAATAATGAAAATTATATATATATATATATATATATATATATATATATATATATATATATATATATATATATATATATATATATATATATATATATATAACACATTTTTATATATATGTCATTATATATAAACACATTTTTAGAAAAATATTAAATTATATAAATCATACTAATATTCATATAATAAAATCAGATTAAACGGAAAAACAGCTCTAAAATATCAAAATAAAAAATTTTCTAAAACCATAAATTCAGATAAAAACCTTTTTATCAGAATTAATGGTTGTAACAAAAATATTTTCATGCATTCTCAATATGTTCAAACGTGTCCACTTCATTTGGGTATTCACTGATCAAACGTAAACAGCAAAAAACAAACAGTATTGATAAAATAAATACTTTAAACGTAATTTCTTGAATATTTGGTATAAAAATTCCAGCTTTTTGCAAATTAAGATTTTCTATACTATGGGTCATATGTTGTTTTTTTTTTTTGCATTTGCATTTGCGGCATTGAACTAGCCAGGAGTGTCTATCGACCTACTAATTATTTACTTTACAAATATGGAAGTAACAATGAAAAGTATAGAAAAGTGCATAACGGTCAAAGTAGAAAAAGAAAAAAAAAATTTTAAATGAAACTGAAATACATTTTAAGAAATCAGTAAGAGATATTTATCAACCTCATGTGAGCGAATTTAAAAATAATAACAGATCGACTTGACAAACTAGAAAACAAACCTAATAGAAACATATTGAAGGTTGTAATAATTAAAAAAAACTATTAATAAACCTTTGAATAAAACTTTTCAAATAAAATATCATAATCAAACAGTTTAATGGTCAACAAAACTAGCAGTTTTAAAAAAAAAAACTTTCTATTGGAAAATTGTTCACGCCTAAATAACCTAAAGAATAACTTAGCTGCTTACTGAAATATGAAATGATTGTACGAATCAACTTTAAGATGTATTTAGAAACAAGCTGGCATTCTCGAACAACATAATAGTTGAAGCAGCTCATCGTGTTGGGAAGATCATCAGCTCATCGTGTTGGGAAGATCATCAGCTCATCGTGTCGGGAAGATCATCAGCTCATCGTGTCGGGAAGATAAAGGAAGATAAATCTCCATTAACAATAATTGTTAAACAATTAGAGTTTCAAAATAAAGGAAAAAAATTTTGCACTAACAAAAAGATACCGGAGTCAGGCCAGTCTTTACCCATGTCCAGCATAGGCTACAGCTGCGGTGCCAGGGCATTTGGAGAGGTCAGCCAGCAATGAATCAATTTTTTTTTAAACTAACTAAAATAATTTTTTTAAAATGAAGTATGAAAATTAAAAAAGAAAGTCACAATATATTCTTTTAATTCTAATTTTATATTTTGAATTTTTTAGGAAAAAAAAGTTTAAGTAGGTCTATAAACAAAAATCTTACCTGTAGGTAAGAAGTGCTACCTTATACCTGTAGGTTAGAAGTGCTACCTTCACCTTACCTGTAGGGAAGAAGTGCCACCTTCACCTTGATTTACGTACGTGTTTATATGTTTAGATAGAAACGGGTCGTATACAGAGAGTAACTTCAAAGAGTTATGTAAACTTTCATTATAAAACGATTCTATTTTCTCGTATCATCCACGAAGTGCTAATGATTTGATGCGTGAGGAGTAGAAAAAATTCTCTTTGCAAATGTCAGCTAATATTTGAGCTAATATTTTCAAAGAGTTCAGCCAACTACTTGGTAATTCGCAGCTTTTTTTTCTGCTTAAACGCTGAATACTCTTTAAATAAGTATAAAAGATTTTTAAAGAGTAGTAACAATTATAAAATAATTATATGATTAACTGCAGATATAATTATACAATGCATATTAAAAAAACTTTTAAGTGTAAAATTATAACTGCAGTATTCTATATGCTAATACATGCGATACTATTGATATCTGATACTAATAAATTAAACACACCTCAATTTACTTGATGATTTTTTTTTCTACAGGAGAATCATTGGTCTCTTCCCTTTTCACAGATTCTTGAGTGATTTTATGTTGACTTAAGTTAAATAGTAGGTTTAGGCGCATTTGTACATCATTGCCGCATTTGTACGTCATTGTCGAATTTGTCCGTTTTTATCGAATTTGTACATCATTGCCGCATTTGTTCGTTATTGTCGAAACTGTACATCATTGCCGCATTTGTTCGTTATTGTCGAATTTGTACATCATTGTCGCATTTAGGCATCATTGTCTTGAAATCAAAGATCAAAGTAATTGAAAGTTGGAAAAAGTCTCTCACAGAGTTGACGGTTTTCGCGTGCAAATGCGCATTCTGCTTTTTAAATGGGCTATTCTAATTACAAGATATAATAATGGGAATTAGTTTTTAAGTTCATAGTAGTCAATAATCTTATATAACTGTATATGTGAAATATGTATTTAAACTTCAATGTAGCCTTAAAAGAGCTGAATAATGACGCATCAGTCAACACACGATAGTTGAAGCTACTACATCTTTCAAAAAAATTGCTCAGCAGGAGACTCCTATTAAGATAGTTATCTGAAAGACATATATGGAAAGGTCTAACAAAGTTAACAAAATGCTTCAAGCAGTTGATATCAATCTGACTGTGGTGAATGACCTGTATAGCTCAGTCAATTTTCGTTCAAGAGTTTAAATCAAGTTTGAAAAAGTTGCTTTGATATAAGTGGTCAATGTATTCAGATGGCCAGAAATGAAAATGATATTATTACATTTATTAGATGACCAATAAAGACGCAGACGCATGCGCAAAAACCAACATTACGAGTTGAGCATCAGACTTTATTGAAAGTGAAAAAATGATTCCTTTTTTGGTCATACCCAGAAACATAATAAATATAAAAACATTGATAAATTAAAAAACTTAATTTTGTATATAAATATTTATTCAGCATGTCTTACAAAAAGTGGTGTACTGACAAACTTTCATAAACAAATTCAAATTTTCAAATTATTAACTACAAATTTTTTTTTGGTAAAAAAATACCAAAAGACGAGAAAGAAACATGGTATATATTCGGAATGATTTAGAAAAAAAGATTAGAAACAACCTTTCATTTTCTGATGCAGACAATGAGGCTCTAACAAAAAAAATCAAAAATAAGTAAAATATTTTAGTAACTAAATACTATGTAGTAACCTACTAAATAGTAAGTAAATTTTAGTAACATAACTACTTGTTATAGACTATAACATCTATGATAGTCTATAACATCTTTATTAAGATATATATATATATATATATATATATATATATATATATATATATATATATATATACATATATATATATATATATATATATATATATATATATATATATATATATATATATATATATATCTACACACACATATATATATAAGTATATATATATATATATATATATATATATATATATATATATATATATATATATATATATATATATACATATATATATATATATATATATATATATATATATATATATATATATATATATATATATATATATATATATATATATATATATGTGTGTGTGTGTGTGTGTGTAGATATATATATATATATATATATATATATATATATATATATATATATATATATATCTACACACACACATATATATATATATATATATATATATATATATATATATATATATATATATATATATATATATATATATATATATATATATATATATATATATATATAACAACAAGATGTTTACCAACTTTACTTAAACAAGAATAAATTTTTTTTTGCAGCTGATCTTCATTTTCACCTTCTCAATTGTTTTTATACACGTAGCATTTAATGGTTGACCAAAAATCATCAATAGGTCGTAATTCTTGGGCACATGCCGGATTATTCCATAATGGATATTTTTCTTAATTGGTCACACTTCTAACATAGTGTGAAGAGAACAAGTCTGGTCAAAATACATAATTGTGATAATTGTTACCATCACTTTGATAATTGTTAATAAATGAAATCAATTTTTTGATGATACAATCATTTTGCACACTGTTTAGTTGATCTTAGTAAAAACCAGATTTTTTATTTATTAAATGAAAATAAGTCTCATCATTAATGAAAAATTCACGGGTTTTTTTTGCGACAATTTCTTCCGCACTTCAGTGGCAACTGCTTAACTGTTTATCAGCGCAATCAGGGTATTATTTTTTCTTTAAATAATAAATGTTTTTTTTAAATGTTTTTAAAATATAGAAATCACTCACAACTTTTTTTGTTGAAGTTCCAGATTGTTTTTTCAAGAGACTTTGCAAGCGATTAATGTTTCTAGCAGCAATAATTTTTGGTTTTCTGCCTGATCCAGGCCAACGAGACTTTGGCTAATTGTTCTTTCACTTTGCCATATATCTTTTTTTGGTTCTTTCGGAGTGGTTTGAGGCAACGAAATACTCTTCAATGTTCTCCGTTTAAGCGTTAGGATGCAAGTTACAACAGTTGTACATCTGTTCAATTAATGTCTGTTCTATTTATTTTGTTCTGTTCAATCTGTTCAATTTATTTTGGATAACGTTTTTTAATAATTAATCTAAGTAAACAAAACTTTCAGTAAAAGATAACTAATACTTTATAAACAAAACAACTAAAAAAAAAAGACTTTGTAACTAAAACTTTAATAAGCTTTAGCTTTTCAAAGGTTATACCAAATTTGTCACCAGGGGCTACCGTCAAAACTATTGAATTCAGTTTTAATGATGCTTTACAAAAGTCATTAACATAAATTAAGAATTGAAGTGTCCCAGGGATCAAGGAACCAGAAATCCTTTTACGTTTAGATTATCTAAACATATGAACTACTTTTATATTGCGACATTTTTTTCTTTATTCTAAGATTACTTATCACCTATCAGGCCCGTACCGTTAAATTTTTTAGGGAGGTCGATTTTGAAAAATTAGACAGTTTAGAATACCAAATAAAAATTATTATTGAAGATCAATTGTAC